AAGGGTGGAGCCACCGACAATTCAAATTAGTTGTGTTTCTTTCCAGATAGCCAAGGTTCTGATATGCCGGGATCCATTGAGAAATGGAATCGCATCAGCGCATTGGAAGGGATTGTAGTTGATGCTCTTCTTCTTCGCCCGGTTTCCATTTAAAATGGAATAAGGGCAACACGGTGGCCCGAATGCGAAAATTTCCTCACAGGGGTCATGAGGTATAAAATGCATGGTTTCGATCTGAGACATGGTGTTCTACTATATACTACGACTATACTACTATATACTACTACATACTACATACTACATACTACAAAATACATACTACATACTACATACAACCTACAATATACTACATACTACATACTACATACTACGACTACTACTACGACTACTACTACTACTACTACGACTACTACTACGACTACTACTACGACTACTACTACGACTACGACTACGACTACGACTACTACTACGACTACTACTACTACTACTACTACTACCACCACCACCACCACCACCACCACCACCACCCCTACCCCTACCCCTACCCCTACCGCTACCGCTACCGCGACCGCTACCCCTACCCCTACCCCTACCCCTACCGCTACCGCTACCGCGACCGCTACCCCTACCGCTACCACTACCACTACCACTACTGCTACTACTGCTGCTGCTGCTGCTACTACTACTACTACTACTAGTACTACTACTACCACCACTACTGCTACTACTGCTACTGCTACTACTACTACTACTACTACTGCTGCTGCTGCTACTACCACGACTCCTCCTACTACTACTCACGTTGTAGTATTGTCTCGAATATATGGTAGTCAGTTTCATTTTATTGCAGCCTAGTCTAGTAACTAGTATCTACTTTGAATGTCCTTGTGGTGTTCATAAGCCAAAATTTCGTACCATTGCCACATTCAGTACGCACAGTCATGGCTTCATGATACTTGAATGGACATCCCAGTTGTAGTAAGTGGCAATGGCCGTTATCTAGCCCAGTTACTTGGCGGATACCCGGATTTTCACACCAGGTAAAAAAGCCATATATCATTTAAATATCTCCATAAAACTTGGATGCCCCGCCAAATATGCTTTGAACCTAACATTACGTGTAGTTGCATGATGTACTGTCCATTACAAAGCCCCCAAATGTCATCGATTCAACATGGGTCATCATTGGATGCGTTTCATATCGTTTGCAGAACGGCCTGATCAAAAAGAAGCACGACTGCGGATTTTGTTTGGAACACAGTCTTGGTAGTTTGATGCCATGACCTGATCACTTTCAGATCGCAATGGCCATGATGTCACTGAAGTCACGCTATCAGATATAAAAGTGTCTGGTGCACAATGTAGTCTGGTCCCGTGATAGCCCGCTTTCTGTCGCCATTGGCTATCTGTTATTTTGGTCACTTTTGAGATTAAGCAACTTTGTCAGGTCTGGCCTCTGCGTCAGGTACCAAATGACATCGCTTCTCATGCAAAACGCAATGCCCACCAGTTACACCGAAGGCAATGTCGTCATGCACGTGCACAACTTGGTTCGTTCACCAGAATCAGCATATGTCAAGAGACAGACGCTCTGGGCACTTATTTATCATGAACGCATAACCGGGGCTGCCAAAAACGCATTGGTTCTTTTAAACGTACCAACCTTTCGCAAGGAAAATGACTTGACCTGATTGAGCTTACTTTTTTCTGGCTGATTTGTGATCATTCGCGCATTTCATGACTGATAGTCGCACTGGCCACCAACAACTGGCAGAACTACCAGGATTTAGTACAAACTCTTTAGGCCAAGGAACGGTGAGGCTTGTAGTTCTGGAGAATGAACTGTTGCTTGGCTGGGTTGATCTCCATCACAGAAGAGCGGAAGCCGATCGAGATGTTGTAGTCTGCCAAAGTCTCTGCAATTTCTCTCCTGATGCGGAGACTGAAACTGAATGGTAGGCAATAGGCAACAAATTAATAGTAGAAAGTGAAAATCTAGGACTTGGATAGATGCTCAGATCTTGTGATGGAAAAGATGTTTCCTAAAGACAAAAAATCCGGATTGAATTCAGGTTGGTATGTTGCCAGGGTAATGCAAAAATCATCTAGTGCGAACTCAGAAGGCCAGTCCAGACATGTAACAAAGGGACAAACAATATGCACCCAGTGGCAACAGAGTAAATTTTCACCAGGTCAAAAATTGAACGCTGCTAGACTGATGCCATCCAAACTGTGAGTCCCATTCTTGGTGTAAACGGTGATGTTACGATGTCCCCATTGTGTGGCAGGCAAGTACAAGTTATAAGCCATTTGTTTTGTTTGACCCACATGGATAGACTATCCAACGCCCTCCCTCCCATCCACAACACTATCCACCCTTCCGCAACGCAGATAAGAAATAAATTAGTTAGTGAAGCCTGCTGCAGCCTCACAAAAAAATGCCCCTACACAATGATTTTGTTCGCTCTAAGGGTCGCAGCAACTAACATGCATTATAGTATGCATATTCTATGTATCTGGAAACACATAATATATGTAAACATATGATATGTATAATATTTTTGATTTATGATTTATGATTTATATATTATTACTTTACTTTATCAAGATAAATCAGGTTCTTGAAAACAGAAAGCCAATGAATCAACAACCCAAATCAACACCGTTCGTTTGTAGAGGTCGACTTCGCGAAGGTGCTTATTCATTTTTTAGTGTCTATGATTCTGTCCATGTCCAAAACCTGATATCTGAATTCATCTCTCTTGGGTGAGTAGAACCTTTACTGTGCACTGTGCACCTTTGTTTTGTGGGTAGCTGCAAGACAAGATTCATGATATAAGTTCCTGTCCCAGCACCAGCGCAGCCTTCCACCAATGTCACGGTTTGCACCGCTCTGCGGGCACGCTTTTGCCTAGGTTTGTAAGATGCTTGCGGGTGCAGTGCCAGTTTTCATTGGAGATATTTTTAGAGTGCCAGGTTTCACTGCAGATATCTTTGTATTAAACACAAACATGTACTGTTGCTATTCACTGCTTTATCCCAACTTATGGGGGCTATTATTGCCGTACCTATACCGTCATAATTGGTTTTATACCCATGACTCCATGACTCAAAAAAACCAATTGCGCTCCCAAGTAGGATACGATAGGGTATCCTACTCTCTGGAATATTTTTCCTAGGAACAAAGACATGACATGTGACATGACGCAACTGACATGACAACACGCGGAATAACAAGACCAGATGCCAGATACAGTCTAAATCGTCATGCGACTTGAGATGATCGGGCGTCGCGAATACTTAACCAACAGCTAATCACGCATCCAAGCTGCATCTTGTGGACCCCAACGATGTTGCAGTATTTGTCCGCCCAATCCAGAAAAGATAGCTTGTCGGCATCCTGGTCGACGTGTAGTGCTTCTCGCGCATTCCTTAATTAGTTAGTTTCAGTTTTCGCTAGAGTTCGTTGCTAGTAACATCGCGTAGAACGCGCGGGAATTAACAAGACTCAAATGTGACTACCATCCGTGGGCATATGCCCATCATTGACTGAAGTAGCTTCGACAAAAGGAATCCGAAATACATAGACAGTCTTAACCACAGAGACCACAAAAATATCACCACCTTTCTGCTACTACAAAAGTAATCGACCCAGCCGACCGCACATACGCAGCACAACAAGGTATAAGCGCAGAATAAAATAATCTGAGGTTCTTCTTCTCAGGTGCAGGGCTGCTGAAAATCTGGCTCACCAGATCCATATCTGAACTGGTCTCATCATCACTGTCATGGCTGAAGCTCAGACGACCCGGCATTCTTGATGGCAACGCCATTCCAAACACAAACACCAACTGTGAAAAAAGCATCATGATAGACCATGGAGCATGTCCTTTACTTCCTCTTGATTCAAAAGGGTCTCCTAAACGCGTTCACGGAGCCAAAATAGGGAAGCGGCCGCCGTTTGAAATGCTTGTGCCATGAAGCTGGACTTCTTGGTAGTGATGTTGGAGGGGGTGGGGCTGGGGGAGGAGAGGGGTGGTGGAAGTGGTACATGTGGTGGTTTTTGTGCGCTTGGGCCTAACCTTCGGGGCGTGCTTGCCTTTCTGGAACTGGTGGTTGTGGCGGTGGTGGTGGTGGTGGTGGTGGGGAAGGGGAAGGGGTTTGTCTAACACGTTGGTTTGGGCTGGGTGCGCTGAGTTTTTTGCTCCTGCGAACTTTGGCTCACCGACCCGGAGGTTGACTTGTTTTTCTGCGTGGTTGTTTCCATGGCTCAGGCTCCAGTAGGGCGGAAATGATTTCAATAAATGCATTTTTCATTACTGGCTGGTGTTGTTTTTTCATTGGCTCATTGAACTTTTTGTTTTGGTTCTGGTATATCTGACACGGCTCATGATATGATTGGCCGATTGTGGCTTATCATATCAAAAAGGTAATGTTGATGCCCGAGGTGCTTGTTTCCACGTAAGAGATTACAAAGTTTAGCCAGGCAACATGTTGGCATGTTATGGATGCGCATATCCGATACTGTCATTTTCACATACCCACAATGGGGGCGCACTCTTAAGGCTGAAATCAGTTGGAATCAGCACTTAATAGCATTTAAGTGTTCTGTTGTTGTTTTCCCTTTAGCTAGCCTTTGTCAACTCATCATCACATGGTCCTCAATATATTGCACATATTATATTCCTTCAAAATATTGCATGTGTTTTGCAAATAGTTCCTGGAACTCTGCAAATAGTTCCTGGAAATCTGCAAATAGTTTCTGGGTCCAAAAGCCAGAAAACAGAAAGGCCCAAATAAAGAGGCCAACGCCGATAGTAAAGTATACCTCTATAAGAATATTGTTGGTCATACAGTCCTCCCAGTATAATATCCCATTTTGTCCCAAATTATAGATTATGTTCCCAGTTGTTGAACATGGTTGAACTGTTCTTCCCTATGTCGAAACCAGGTTCCTTGAACCATCCATGTTTCACGTCGTTGTGCACACAATCGGCCAGGGTTCAGGCAGCGGAGGTAGCTATGCCTTGGCTGCGGTCAAGAGACAGCAGTTGAAGGTCGGACGTCGGGGCTGTCGCAGGATTTGTCCATGGGAAATCATGGGAAAATGGTGACAAAAAAAACAAGAAACATAGGGATTGTTCGGATCGCTGATTTATGATAGCCAAGTTGGTAAAGCAATGTCATAAACCACCCAAAATTGATGGTCGATACTAGTTGATACAAACCATTTAATGATGGTGATTTTGGGGTGTATCCTATTGCTTGACATGTTTGGCGATGAGCAAAGGTGAGGAGATCTGTGCCAAGCTATATTTTAACCACAGACTTTAGTCTATTTTAGTATATATATATATATATATCGACCATCTAACTGTTAGTTTTTAGTGTATATATATATATATCAACATATCAACCATCTAACTGTTGGGCTGTTCGGCTACCTAATTTTGACCCATACACCTGATGTATCCATTCGAGGTTTCGAGGTTTCCAGTCATCTGGCGCCTCATCCAAGTCTCGACTCAGTTTTTTGCTGAACCCATGACCCTGGTGACCCGGGGATCCTCATTTTAAGGTGGGCACCCCCCATAAAATATATAGCGATATTGTCAAAAAATAGACGGCCTGGTTTGGTGTAGGATTTCTTATTCTATGCCTTTGTTGGTTGGTTTTAAGGTGGGGAAGCCTTCTATCAACCAATCAGCTGCAAAAGGACATCTATATGTAAAATGTTATACAACACGACAAAACATGATACATGTAGCAATCACAAACTAGATGGAATGGGATAGTAAAATCCTACTAAAATAATTATATACATATTATTAGTTGTTCTATCATTTTAGGGGTTACTACAGACTCAGTATTTATAAATGGATGATGAGTTGTTGTGTTTGTAATGTATCGACCTAGATGAAACGATTGTGATTTGTCGTGTTTATGTGTGTACATGTTTATCGATGGATTTGATCAGCGAAAATGTGATTTCAGCAACAATCATAGCCAGGATTAAAATTCAATCGTAGGTGGATATTGTTTGGGTGTGAGTCTAAATTGTGTTCGATAAGTAGCAAAAGTCAGCAACGTCTGCCCACGGACTGTTTGCTGCGGGATTCTGCCCGATACCTAAGTACGTATTTATATTAGCCAGCAAAACTGGTGACAATGGTTTGGAGTATTTTTTTCAGCGCACCCAACAATCCATCTCTAGTCATCAAGATCAACGCAATTCTTCCACTACCCTCTGGTAATTTAACATAACTATGGAAAATCACCATTTTACATGGGGAAATTCACTATAAATGGTGATTTTCAATAGCTATGTTAAATTACCAGAGGGTATGTTGCACTCTCGAGTATCTTGGCGTTTTTACGCGTCCATCGATGGGGACCCGAACCCCGCCTTGGAATCCCCCCGATGCCTTGGAAAAGAATGGGTCGACCCGGCTTGATAGGCCCCGCATGGACCGACGAGGCGTGCTGTTCCACAGCCTTTGGAGACCTCCTTTGGGGAGCTCAATTCATGATGTTTGAACACTGGGGGAACGGGAACATATGATAGGTCTTGTCCCTTGCTAAACAATGTTATTCTGTGCAATTTATCCGAGATTGGACATATGTTTGCAGTAATCACGGGATAGAAGCTTCACTATTTTAGATAGTGGTTGCGTTTTTTCCCAACAGATCCTAACAATCATGGGAGCAGAACTTTTACGACATGTAGATTGAGATTTTGTCAGCCGCTAGGGATACTACGGAATCGAGATCTTAAGATCAGTCTTACGCTATGGATAGAACCAGCACTACATGACGATGCGTGCACGACCAGCCAATGCACATGTTCGAAAAAGAAGAAGTAGTTGATGCAATGTACGCTCTGGTAATTAAACAGACCATCGAAAATCCACAATGTATACATTATACAAGGTGGTACCCCCCCAGTTATGTTAGTTGGTTTATAATCCCCATTAATTATAGATATAACCCCCATAAACCCTAGATATTGGACTTATAAACCAATTTAGCTAACGAACTGGGGCACCACCTTGTAGATTATCACATTATCCCATTAAAACACCGTTTGACTCATCATTAATCGAGGATTTTCCACCAATGATCGTGACTGAGTATCTAGCCAATGGCATGGGTGTGGGTTCGAACTGGAGTATCTCAATGACGAGCGGTTTCAAATGTTGTTTTCCCTCTGGATCCCTCTGGTAATCAAACATGACACTGGAGTCACTGGAACATTCCCTATTTATCGAAATTCATAGATGTTTTTTCTCAGTAAAACCCTATGCCTATTATAGATATAGAATGATATAGAGGATTTTCAAGTGTCACAAATGACTAGCAGAGGGTACAGAAGAACATCATTTCTTCGGCCCAACTGTGGGACCATGTCTTCGTCCCAGCATGTTGTGTGCTGCTTTGGTTGGGTTGCATCGTCGCCGACCTATTGATGGAATTTGAGTCCATTTCAGGTTGACATATAGCTTCGTCCTCAGCCTTGCCCGAAGATTGTAACCGACCGGGTTTTAAAATGGGGCATCCGACTTCAGACAATCAACATACCACCTGTCTTCATATTTGGGTTTGTCTGACGGGGTATGCTCCAGGAAACAGCAATCAATAGTCCAGGGTCCAGCCAGGTCGACAAAAAGCCAAGGGAAGCAATTGCACTTTGGCTGCAGATGTGCTGTCCCAAACGAGATGGGAATCTGCCACGTGAAACTGAGTTAACTCCAAGGATTATGTGATTTTATCAAAAATCTGGGGATGAACGTTCTTGGGGATGAACATGTTCAGGAAGATAAAGCATGATAAAACATGCCATGATGAACTACTTAGACCTGCTCGACCTGCCCTGCCGGATCTAGGTGCACAGCCAGCCTGAAGTCATTGGAACAATATCTTTCTACTATCAACTTGTCAACTACATGTACATTTACACCAGTTTATTATAGCAGTGTCACTAGCAATTAACAAGTATGTCAGTCTGTCATTCACAATTCAGGTTTGGTGAACATGAAAAATGTCATCAGCATGATCAATCAGATTTTCTGAATATGAGGTAAATATCATCGAACTACCATCCCGGGGTCACACCCCTTTAGGCATTTTTAGAGATTACAATTTCTCGCATTGTCATGAAAATCAACAGATTTTCATATATAATATATACATACGATGTTCACTTATTTATAACCACTACCCTCTGGTAAACGTTTACATAGCGAACTGGAAAGATAAAACAATTTTCTAGCTGCTGGGTAAATCCACTATTTCTAAATCACCACTATTTTTAATGGGTAAATCCACTATAAATCACCATATTTTCAATAGCAAACTGTTGACATAACCAGGCCGGGTAATTCAATGACTCGTCAGGCCTCCGTTGCCACAGCGAGGCGAGGTGTGGTTTTTTTTGGACCATGGGACCATTTTTTCCGCCGTGATGGCCATGACATTCCCCCATTTTCGGTGTGGGAAAATGATGAAGTGTGGGAACAATCCCAAAAATAAATGGAGGTTTTCTATGGAAGCCATGTCCCATAGACATAGATGGTTTACATATTGAAAATATTAAAACATGGTGATTTTCTATAGCTATGTTAAATTACCAGAGGGGATTGCCCACAGTGTGTGTTTTTGCGCCAGGGTAAACATACAAAAAGATGTGGAAAACCCGTGGGAAGAACCTAGGAAAATGATCTACGTTTATGGTCTTTCTTCCCACATCTATCTGAAAATTTACCCTGGGGTAGCATGTAAACACGCCTATGTTCAGATAAACACATATGTTTGTTTATGATAAGTTATGGTCAGTGAGGCGGCTTTTTTGTTTTGTTTTCACTAACAAAAGATATCATGTACTGTGAACATGAACATGAAATGTTTTTTCTTATATATGTAGAATAGATTATATTATGGGATATTCAATTATGATGCTTGGTATATTGGTTAGAAGCTCTTACATGTTGTTAGCAGGGTCACTTGAGTTGGATTCTGGATGAACGCAACATCCCTGCAAAAAAATCCACGAGTAATCCACGGTTTCTTGCACATTTTAGGCTTAGATTCTTAGATTCTTAGATATTGTTGAGTGTGGGCAAGCCAATGCATAAAAATTTCTGGTGGTATTTTCCATCCCCAGTATATTTGGGAATATTGAATACCCTCTGGTAATTTAACATAGCTATGGAAGATCATTCTGATTAATGGGAAAATCCACTATTTCGACTGGGCCATTTTCAATAGCTATTTTGACATAACAAGAGGGTAAATCCCATTAAAATCACCATTTTTGTTGGTTAAATCAGTTAAATCCCATTAAACCACCATTAAACCACCAGAAGACGTTCCATCCCCAGGCGGAAAATCGAAACGGAAACGTGTCAAACCGAAACGGTTAAATGGTCCAGGGAGGAGCTCCTTCAAAAAAATGGTGAAGATCCAGTTGTTTCTTTTTAGAGAAAATTCTAAATCTGGTTACGGTGGTTAATCTATGGTTAATGATGGTTAATATATGGTTAATCTATGTTTTTACTATCTGGTTGGTGGTGACTGGAACATGGTTTGTTTATTTTCCATTTCATATATGGGATAATCCTTCCCATTGACGAACTCATATTTTTTCAAGATGGTTAAAACCACCGACCAGACATGTTCTGTTAGTGAAAATAGAGCGTAAATAATGTTGTTAAATTCCATGGTTTGTCAATAAGATCCGCGCAAGTGCTGGTGATATCCGATTTGTTGGGGTTGTGCTAGCAAACAACTTACCTATTATTTACTTTTTGTTGTTTAGTGAAGTCCTAATGAAATAAGTTGTGCTTGTTGCAAATCCGGAAAGAACTTTGGCGAAACATCTTTTTTTCCTTAAACATCGCCGCATTTCAGTTTTTGGGGGGTGAAAACTCAGAAAAGCCATGGCGATTCATCCCCTTTAAAGGTGATGCCAGCAACAATAGATGTTTCATGTTATACAAGCTGAAAGGGGTGGTCAGAGAAGATACATTCACCATGTTGGGTTGAACTGTCATGTACAACAATCCAACTATATAGACATATATAGACTAGATCCCTTTTGAAATGTTGATTTTAATATCCACTGTGCTTTGGGTGGTTAAGTTTTTCATTTAGATAAAGCCAGAGCCAGAGCCAATGGCCAGTAGAGTTGTTATTCAACCTCATTATCCAAAATTGGCAGGCTTGATTCTATACACCATAACTCACCAATTAATAACTCGGAGGATCATCCCACTGAGCAGTTGGTATTACTAACCCTGGTTAGTTGGATAACCCGCGGCTCGTGGGTTATCCATACTAGTTGGTGCTTTGGCACATTTTTTATTTTTCCATATATTGGGCATGTCATCATCCCAACTGACGAACTCATATTTTTCAGAGGGGTAGGTATACCAGCATATATAAATGTTTTTTTCACAACTATGGTGTCGACTGATCCTTCCCCCACTGGAGAGCTATCCTTTGGAATAGTTCATACTCTCCTGGCCCATCATTGAGCTGGGGCAGCATAGAGTCATAGAGTCAATTTTGAAGCTCGGTGTCTCTATTCATCCATATGGGGCTTGTTTCTTTAAAGTATATCCAGGATTACTAGCGGCTGTAATCAAAAACCCTCCGGCTGGCTCGCGGTTGGAACATCACCCATTCATCAATGATTTTCCCAGCTATAGAAACCTCTAATTAGTTCGGGGAGTTCCCAGCCAGCCATGTGTCCCAGCCAAGCGTCAGCTTCCAGGCTCCACCAGTGGCTCAGCCCCAGGCGGCGTTCGCGCGGAGGCCAGGGAGGTTGCCAGGAAGCAAGCCAGTTGAAATGGGGGATTTCATCAACAGTATTTGTTCAAATGTTGAAATGTTCTATGATGATTTGTACAATTTCTATTTTTGTTTGTCAGGTTTCCATGATGATACTGTACTATTGTTCAATAATCAATAGTATCATATCAATGTGTGTCAATCATTATCATTCACATTGCCCGCATCGAGAATATCAGGAGAACAATGGCCATGACTTTCCCGGAAATCTGTCCATGATAGTTTCTCGAAGATGTTTGCTGGTTCGGTCCCCATGACACCATTTATAGTGGTAGATCTTGCAATTTTACCGCGTTTTTCCCTGTTGGGAAAGGATTTCATCACCAAGAATCGTTTGCCAAGATCAGAATTTTTCATGGTTCAACCCTCCCAACCAAGGTTCAATGGCTTAAAGATGCTTAAAGCACCTGATGGTCAATTCCCTTGTTGGAGTCGAGATCAGGCAGCTCCAAATGGTTTAACGCCCTGCAGTTGGCCCAGTCGCAGGCGGGTAATGGGGATGTGTCTCCTGATGCTTCACTAACATGATATAGTAGGACTTTGGAAACAACCCCCTTGTCATTGCATAGTGACTCATCTATTGTTTTATCTAAGGTTTTTTGAGACTTAAGACTTAAGAATCGGTCAACTATCGAAGTCATGGTTTCCATTATCATCCATGATTCAGTTGGTCACTTTTTTCGTGTGGAAATCCATGGTTTGGGGCTATCACAAGTTTGAGAAATACCCAACATTGGGATGTCCCATAGAAAAGTGGAGCTTTTAGTGGCCAGAAAACATCTGTGTGACCTCCCGGGAGTTGTTGGTTTGTAAACCCCTATGTCAATGGCCATGCAACAGGAACCGATTGAGGACAGAGGTACCTACCATATACAAGGCCTATTTTTAAGATTTTCAGGCCTATGTAAGGGAATATCCCAGCAAAATATGGCCTTATATGGTACAGTACTTCCATTTTAGGATCCTGAAATTCCCATTGACTATGACTTGTATAGACATAAGCCCCAAATTGGACACCATCGGTAGTACCACATGAATGCCATGTGGGGAGAGGATCTTCACACCCGTCGGCTCTTGGCTTAGTTCTTTTTGTCTTTCCCGAAGCAGCAGATAATTTTGTTGCCATGGCGATGACCTTCTTTTCCCAGATGTGTTCCGGCTTCGCATCGCAGAAAAAACGCTTTTTGGCTGCAAAAATGGATCCTGTATCCGCTTACCCTTTGGTAATCTAACGTAGCTATGGATAAATCACCATTTAAAATATTCTAAGAAACATAAGCCATGTTCCAAAAATATTGAATACATAATGGGTATATATTCAGGATGCATACTGGTTACATTATATGAAATATAGAACCACAATATTGTCTTAAATGGATCTGACTATAGATGGGGTATGCCCCCAGTTATGGCCATCAAATAATAGGGAACATGATGATGCCCTATATATATAATTAATTATATTTAATATTATATATATTCAACAAAGAAACACATGGGTATACAGCCCGCCACATATTTTACCAAGAATTGGTTGACAGGCTGTCAAGAACAATTTAACATATGAAAAGTGACCTCGCGTGATACCAGACCCTTCAATGTGGAAAGATCAGGGTTATGTCTCCACATGGATATCTGACTCCCAAAGACATGTTTTCTGATGATACATTTGACCAGATCGTTTATAGTACATGTATGTATATATATATATATTTATATATATAGATGTATGTATCTATATATATATAGATACACACTATTCATATTCATATGTTGATTCATATGTTGATCTCGGTAAATGTTGTAGATTTTAAATCTCAAAGCATATCAAATGACTGACCATGCCACGGGGTAGTTTTCCACAATTCCGTGACTTGCCCGTTACGAAACTGACCAAAACGACACAAAAATGACCAGACTGAGTGGATACCCTCTACTAAACATACAAAAAACGATTGAAAATCACCCTTTTCAATGGGTAAATCCACCATAAAATGTCATTTCAATAGCTATGTTGAATTACCAGGGTAATATACATAGATTAGGATTGATTTCTGAGCACCTTGAATTCTGCAAGTGTCGACCGAAACTTGACATGAACATAAATAGATCAATGTGGTAAACGCCAATGAATCAACTCAATTCCATTTTAAGAACATGTGCAGTTCCTCTGTAGTTATGACTGGACCTATACTTGAGAAATTGTTTATATCCTTCTCGAATAGTGAACCATGATGAATAGAAACCAAAGGTTTAAATCCGATCGCGCACCTCCGGGTTTGTCACACCATATCCTGTGATATTACCATTATTCTTGGATTTATCCCATACTATCTTGATATCCACCCCATTGAACCATCATATTCCATTCCATCCCATCAATAATGGCCATTAAATCATTATGTTCATGTTACGTTTGGATTATCCCCATATTGTGTTGATTGTCCCACTGTGTTTATATATACATATCTGGGTAAATTATAACGACCTGACTGCGACTTCACTGGAATCATGGTTAATTAATAACGGAAATCATCCCAAATGGCCTTAATTCAGGTTAGTGAAATATGTTTTTTTGCCAATATATAATCATATATATATACATATGAATAATATACCATGATTTCCTTTTGTGGTCGAAACCTTGTACGTAGCCTGTTTTTGTCATTACCATTATCATTGACGTCACAAAAGGACGTCACTGAAATCATGTTTAGGATTCGGGGGATCATCCATGATCATCCCCAAAATGCCTAAATCTTGAAGTTGGTGAAATATCACAATTCAGCTAGATATAAAGTAATAGTGTAATATTTCAGCTAGTTTCAATGGTCAGCCACTAGATATAGATCTAAATATTAATGTGGTAAAACCAGTGCTATAAACCTACCATTTGGGGATGATGTTTATGTACCACCCATAGAAATGGTACTGTTGGGGATGGTTTGCTTTTGGGTTTACGACATGATTCTCCCTAAACCATGATTATATCCCATTCCCATCAAACAGTACCATGATGATATGGTATGTTGGTAATATTTGTGCTTTCAAAGCCTATTATCACCATATATATATATATACATATTGTAAATGGTAGGGAGCCAGTTTCAACTGAAGATCCTAAGGCAAATTCCAATGTTATGGGATGAAGTTCCAAGATACCCAATCTGTAACCACACACCTCACTGGATCTCGCAATCTTCTGTTTTGGCACTGCTGCAGCAAGTCTCGCAACTGCGAACGAATGGACGGCCACGTCCAGAGCTGATAGGCACCCGGTGCCTTTCCCAAGCCGCACCAAATGGCACAAGGCAAGTGATCCCGCACCCACCCTCGACCAGGCTGCCAAGCCTAAATGACTGTGGCACATGCATGTGGTCCATGTGAGACCTGACATCGGAGTGGCACTGGAAACACCTGGTTCTCATGAATGCAAATCACACTCGTCTTTTTTATATCTATTTTCTGTGTTTTGTTCTTTTTGTTCCAAGTTGATTGATTGTTTTTGGTTCTTCAACCAAGCCAGTCGGTCCTTTGTTTTGGCTCTTTCCTTCAAGGTTGATTGTTCATCGGCAAGACGGTAGAAACCATATTTCAAAGTCTCCCTAAGGAAATTGGATTCCATTGCTTTGGTTAAGGCGTCGGCCAATTGAGCACCACTCGGTACCCACCGCAGGTGAGTTCCTTCATGCAAAAACTCCTTTATCGCGCGTGCCATTAATTGGACCCTGAACTCCGAACATGCTGGTGTTGCTGTTCGAGACACTAAATCAAACAAGCTTTTGCAGTCGGTGATGGCAGTGTCTGATCCTTCGGGTTTCGTGGGTACAGTGATGGCAGGGGCAATCTTTGTCAGAGTTTCTTCGGGTTTCTTCCAATTGGTTCTTTTATCATGAATCCAACTCCAGTACAAACGGAGCCATGAAACTTGGTCCAACGTTGACGATAGGGCCATTGTCTCAGCTGACAATGTGCTTGTCACTACCTTTTGAATCTTCCGGCGACCCCATGTCAAAGGACTGATTGGACATTCCACGTTCTTGTTGATATCCTGATGGGTCCCAACAATTATTGAACCTGCATGGGAGTCGGGCTTCTTTGCTGAGGAAAAGGAAGCATCTGAGAACGCCAGTAGTCGGAAATCCTGATATGGTATTGGTTTGATTGTTATTGTTACGTCGTGGTGACGTTTGGCTTCATGAAGTACTTTGTTGGCTTCCATGAGGGTTTCAATTTTGGCATGGTTGATTGCTGATTGAAGAAATGATAATTTGGATGATAGATCAGGTCTGGTATTTATGGCGGCGTACTGTAGGCTTCCAACTAAACCCCTTAGGGCCAGTCTTTCATCTTCGGTTACTTGGGCTTCCATGTGAGATTTCCGATTGGATTCAATGCATATGGGCTTGATTTTTCGTACGTAGGCTGATTGGTTAAGGGTAATACTGTAGTCATGATGTTGGGTTATCTCAATTCCAGTGAATGTGAAAGCTGAAATTTTGTGGGATCCAAAGGGAAATTTTCTTTCTAGTTGTCGAATCTTTTCTTCGAACACTGCGCTCCCTCCACCGATGCCATCGTCCACATGAATTCCCAGAATTCCTTCTAGTTGGCCCGGTTGGCCATCTTGGGATTCAGCGCGGAGCACAAAGCAGCATGGATCGAACGGAGAAGCCTCAAAACCTAACTGCGTTAGTTCTGTTACCAAGGAGCAATACCAAAGATATGGTGCATCAATGAGACCATATGCACTCTTGTTCAATCGGCATATTTCCTGGGGCTTCAAATCGAGTGCTTTGCGCAATTCTGGGACCGGGTCAATGGCAATTACACGGTCAGCTTGGGGCTGACCCTGGAGAAAGGCTGCTTTGATGTCGAAGGACCTAATTTTCCAAGAGTGGGATGAAATTACCTGCAGGGCTAACATTCTGGAGGTCTTGTTTAATGTAGGGCTATCCCGTGGAATTTCTTCGATCTTGGGGTCAAGGTATCCTAAGACAACAAGGCGTGCTTTGGCTTTATGAGACCTTTTGGATAGCTGACTTTGAGGTTCATCTCCTACTTGATCTAGTGGTTCCCAAGTCAGAATCCATCGGCATCTCAGAACCTGTTCTTCAGGTATTTGGTTCCGGAGAATTGAGCTTATGGTCCCAGTGCGAATCCAGTTCTGAACTTCACTGTCTTTTGCCAGCTCAAACTCATGACGCTCTTCGGGTGTGAGTGTCGTCAGTTTCACCTCAGTCCTCTGCTTTTTGGCTGATGTGGCAAGTAAAACCCAGGTTTCCTTTTCTGTAGGTACTTGTCGGTCAGGGGACCTTTCGATTGGTATTTCAAACTCACATCTCCAGGCAGCATCATGGGTGTCATGGCATGACAGGGCACATGCGGTCTCATGGCATGTCAGTTGAATTAGTTCGGTGTCCTCATGAGTGGGTGCTTCAAGCTCCTCACTGAGTGGATTCGTCTGTGACGCTTCAGGAGTAACACTTTCGGGTTCTTGATCTGGTTGTGGAATGGAGTCATCATTGCTGACATCACTTGGGATAATTGGGGGTTCCTCTGGATTGTTATTTGAACCATGAGCATTTTGGTCTGTAGTGATGGGGTTATTAATTTCAGAGGGAATTGAGTCATCGTTGAGATCAAGATTTGGGTTGTTCTGCATTCTCTGAATTTGTTGTTCCATTTGCGTGGTATCTTCCGGCAACTCGGGGCCTTCAGGTTGTCCCTCTTCTGGATATGCTTTTCTGGTGTTTTCGGGTGCGCTGCGATAGAGGGTTCCCCCCATAGTACACCATACTGTATGGTTATCATCCTGAACTATCACCCTAAGGGGCCCATGCCACCTTTGTTGTTGAATGGGATTATTCTTCCAGATCATAACCCAGTCTCCTTTCACAAACTGGCCTCTGGCGGGGCATGCTCGTCTCAACAGTGCTCTGCGAAGCACATCGTTGTTGTCAGCGGCATGATATGCCCGACGGGCGGATTCACGCAGGGACAGCATGGCTTTGAACTCGGCTGAGCTCATAGACGTGTCTTCAGACATGGCCATCTCATGGGCAGGCAGCGATTCATCATTAAGGACAGACCCTGGTATCCTAGCATGCTTACCAAACACAATGATTTCTGGGGCATACCCGTGACGTACGCTCAACGTATTCTTGGCTTGGGTGCATTGGTTTAAGGCGGCTTGCAAGCTTGGATAATCAAGGATTGGAGATTCCATGTCCATTTTAATCAGCATGCTCTGTACAAACGAACCATGTCTCTCGATCCTGCCATTCTGCCAGTGAGCTTCGGGACACGTGGTGGTACTACGGATACCAAAACGTTGTAGGAAGTTTCCAAACACCTCACTGTTCATCTCTGTTGCAGAGTCCACCACAATTTCATTGGGTGCGCCGGCCCAGCTGATCCAATGCATCTGTAGAAGATGCGTCAGGTCCTCAGCCTTCTTGGATGGAGAAACTATAGCAACATGATAGTTTGAACCAGCATCTAACATGTGATAGAAGTGAAAGGTTTTTCCCGCTTTATTTGTCCATGTTACCCCATCTAGATAGATCTTATGGTTAAAATCTAACAGAGGTTTCAGGGTGGCAGGCCTGGCATGTTTTGGTGGGCTGCTTGCGGCGCACGTGGAGCATCGAATTTCCAGTGCAGCTTGGGATACTTCGGGCCGGTATCCGGCCACCTGCAAGGCTCTCGAGAGTCTGTCATTCGCTGGGTGTCCTAGGCTCTTATGCATCTTCAGTATGGCTTGTTGTTCCCAAACAGGCAAACATCTGAATCTAAACCCTTGCTGGGAGAGTCTTGGATCCGGTGGTTGCGGAACCGATTCCCGAGAAGGTGTATTGGGTACCTCCTCGGTGGGAACAGGTGCATTGACTTCTGATGCAGGCCGGTGTTCGGTGGGAACTTTTGGTGTCGAGGTGGCATCGTCCTCAACTGTCGATGGTTCCCGAGCGCTGTCATGCATTGGCTTCTCGAATTGGGTCTTTTCACCGCTGGGTTGGTGAACACCTTCGGAAGGCACTTCATGACCTCTTGATGTTGGAACATTTTCGGCTTTTGGAGTCCTCTGGCTATCATAGTCCTTGGCAAACACCGTGATGTTGATTCTGCAGGCATGTGATGGTCTTATCAATTGGCGTTGAGATAACTGAGTCCAGTTTTCCCAGTGTCTTTCATATTTGATTTCACCATCCCTCTGAAGTATCAACATACGTCTGTACGGTGCTTCCTGAGAATGCATGTGCTTGGGAGGTCCCATGGTTCTTTCGGTTCCCCTGCATGACATCATTCGAACAATCATCTTATCAGGAAAGATGTTCTGCATTTGTTGGATTGTTTCAGGGTCTTCTATCTCCTTCTTACCTACTCTGGGCAAACTGCTGTTGAGAGTCTGTACAAGTTCCTGACACATCTCCAACGACGGTGCAGACCCTTGCAACATGTCGGTCTTGAGGCGTTTTGCCTCCTTGCTACCACGGGCAACTGGTTGCATCAGTTCGGATTTGGCAAATTGGGGCTTCTGACGGAACTGGCTCTTGACATTAGACGCTTTGGCACGCAATCGGCTATTGGCCACCAGGGCTGGTTCCTGAGAGTCGATTTTGAATTTGGCCTGCATCATGCCGGCTTTCCATCGAAACGGCCACCACTTTTCACCTTTGGAAATGACTTGGGCAACAGCTCGTGCAAACTTTCGGGGGTATACCTCAGTGAAATGAGATCTCAACATGTAAGTCCCATCCTTTTGTCTAAACGACCCCTCGATTGGCTGGTGTTTATGTTCATGTTTACACGTCATGCCATGGAATCTTTCGTACAAAGGTGGGAAGGTGGTGATGATTGTCATCCCCTTCTTCATTGCCAAACCACTGTCGGGGTCCATCAGGTTACCAGCTCTGCACATGTCAAACTCACATGCCTGGGTGTGCTCATGGATTTCCGATAAGCAGGGCAACTTGAACATGAGTGAACGCTGGGGCTGTTCCCAATGGAAGTGATCTCCCTGGGCCATCTGGTGACGATATAGGGTTATTCCCAAGGCAACTTGATACAACAGTTCTTGTCTTCGGGTTTGGTATTCCTTTTGGTGTTCAAGTGATCGAGATGAATTGAGCTGGGACCAGGACGACCAAGGACCACAAACTGGACTATACCATATGTGCTTCGGCCGGTGACGTGCGATGGGCTGGAACAGACCCATTCTGCCGGGCGGTGTGGACAAATCGCCCTGGGCTAATCCATGTCTAAAGGCTGACTTCCCACCTTGCTGAACTTGATGAGTCAATGGTGAGTTTGAGCTGCACATGACTTCTTCTAGAACCCATCTAGTTCCTAGTGGCTTGGTATCTTTCAGGGCTTGTTGCAACTCTCTGGAAAACTCATTTACCATTTGGAAGACTTTACTGGTTTCATGGTGCATGGTGGTCAGCACATCGTCGGACCAGTCCTCTCTCACCAGTCCTCTTCCTCCTCCGGCATGGGATTCATGAGGTTCTCCTTGTTCTCGATGTACCGGATGACTCTGGTCATGGCATTCTCCATGTGCAGCAATCGTTGTTGGACAGCTGCCATGTCCTCCATCAGCGGCATGGGAGTCGGGTTCATAGTCGGTGGGTCGTACATCTCTGTGGCCATGTCCCATCCGCTTTCTCCAGCTGGCGAAGAGGTGCCGGAAGCTGTGGCGATACTCTTGGCCATGGGCTTCACTTTGGGCTTTGCTCGGGGAGCGATCACTGTCTGGCTGCTGACAGGTGCCGTCCCTTGACCCTGTTCGATGGCTGAGACCTGAAGTTCCACATACTTCAGAAACCTTCGGTGTTCCTCCTTGCTGCTGTTCTGGTACCGCGACACCATGAACTGAATCCACTCCTGGTCCTGCCAGGTATCCTGATACTGGTGCCCCTTGTACTTCTGTCCAAAGGCTATGGTCTCGGTTGCCAGTTCCTCCAGTGTGAGGTGGTCGAGACTGGGCAAGGTCACTGGCGCCTGTGTCTCGAGGCGGCGAAGTCTCTGAGACAACGACATGTGAGGATGTACGGGCAGGCTGAGCGGCAATCGGATCTACCTCAACAGCCTGTTGACATCTAGCTGGCATCGGTTGTGCATGAGTGTCATGGTCATGTGGTGTGGGTGTCATGTGTTGGTGATTTTCTTTGGGTGTGATTTCATCCTCGCATGCATGCTTCATCCGGATTGGCCTTGTTCCTACATTCTGGACCTGTGGACCTGCCTTGACACTTTCGGTGACCATCATCTCCTGAGTTGACGAACGATCTGACCTTCTTTTCTCGGTCTCATCGGACACGAAAGTCTCGGCAAGTTCTGTCGTGCTGTCTGGCAAAAGGCTGGGCGTCTTGTCCATGGCTGCTCGGGTTAGTGCATTCATGTCCATGAGAAACAATCCCTTTGCGGTGGGATGCAATGGAACTGGTTGTTTCAGCAGCTTGCTGGACAAAACTTGTTGGGCACAATCTATCTTCGCTGACATCGTCCGCATCAGAGTGTTGCTGATGAGAAACGGAGTTCCCCCTTTTACTATGGCCACCTTTAATTTGAGATACCCAATTGGAATAACTAAGGCCTGTTGGCTAGTTAATGTGGCTTGGTTCCCAAACTTAAACGTGATATTGCAGGGGCATCGAGTCAGCTGACGGCGGATATCGGGATCGAGGCTCTGAATTAGTTCGGCAACATTGTCACTGCCGATGACAGTTTTGGAAGCACCGAGATCTAATATACCATACGACCCATGAGACGCGAAGCATGCTTGGTCAACTTCAGTTCTTGCAGTAGCTTTCTGGCTAAGTCCCAGTGATTCTCCGTTCGGTGGCATTCCATGGACATGCTTTTGATGTCCTGGCGGCGGGCACATGGGATCATTTCTTCCCCTGTTCAACTTGGCTTTCAGCATTTGGCTCAGCTGTGCGGCAGTTTGGAGGCTACGGCATTGCTCATTCTTCCTGAAACCCCAGGCTTGGAGTCTTTGACGGGCAGTGGTCTTACAACCCTGACTATGCCTATCCCCATTATATGATTCCCCTTGAATACACCCAGAGTTATAGGCATGTCCCCACTGATTATCCATCAAAACGTTCATCAAAACTGGCAAAGTTTCGTCTATCGGACCATGTTGAAGGCTTGGCAAGTCCAGGAACTCTAAGGGCAAAATGTCCTCAGGCTGAGACACTGTCACCGTGGTGGTGGGCATACTGCTGGCTGTGGATGCGGCTGCATGAGATCCTCCGGATGAGGGATTGTTGCTCTGCCGGTAAGGGCATTCCGCCTTCCAGTGGCCCTTGCGGTTGCAATTTCGGCACACACTGTTCAGAATTCTATCCTGAAGGCTTCGCTTTGGTCTTTGAGGAAAAAAACCTTTGCCCTTGGCATTCCCTTTTCCAGAAAAACCCTTGCCCTTGGTGAACTGACTGCTACTTTTGCTGCCAGTGCTCCAGAACCCTCTATTGCGAAACTTCTCCGACAGGCGTTTTCTGGCCTCCATGTAGGCACTGTAAGCCGGCTGATTCGAAATCTGCCACCAACGTCGCATCTTCATCTCCTTCGTTGAGGAGACACTCAACATACTCATCCTCTCCTTGTTCATCAAAGGCATTGAAAGTTGGCTCAAGCTCTTCATCCTCGGCCAACATGGTTGCTGAACTGTACACTTTTGTTTTCGGACCTGCTTTGACACCTGTCATCTCCTGGAAAAACGTTGCTCCCAAAAGTCGAACGGCATCGGACACCTTTCGGACTGTGAGTTTCCCTTCCAGACTGTTGTCAGATTCCAGGATTACTCGTTTCTTGTCATCTGGGGTTAAACTGGATCCCCGCAGTAGGATGAAGGCCTGAAGATCCTCTATGCTCAGTTTCTGTGCACGAAGCTTACTCCATGCTACATCTGCTCGAGCTAAAAAGGAGTCGTTGCTCTCGTCCTTCAGCTGGGCTGTATGAAACAAGGCTTGTTCCGCCTCCTCATACTGTTTCTCCAATCCAATGCGGCCCCAATGGCCACCCAGAATTTCCACCAGTCGGTGTACTGCCTTTTCGTCGTTTTCCAGTAACTCATCTTTGTGTATCTGTAACTTATCAAAAGCAGACCCTTGACAGTTCAGGATGAGTCGCATCACCAGTTCAGTCACACGTGTTTTGGGCCATGCGGCCAAGACAAGCTCCACCTTCTGCTGATAGACACGCAAATTGTCCTTTGATGGATCGAACGTGGGGACTAATGTGGACAACTGATGTCCCACTCCGGTTACGCCCCCTGCGCCGTCACCATCAGAAGCTGCGGCCATCTCCAAAGTTCCCCTGGATGCTCTTCGGCACAATCACAGGCTTTCTTCAGATGATAGTCGGAGCCGAGCGCTCCGCTACCCATGTAAATGGTAGGGAGCCAGTTTCAACTGAAGATCCTAAGGCAAATTCCAATGTTATGGGATGAAGTTCCAAGATACCCAATCTGTAACCACACACCTCACTGGATCTCGCAATCTTCTGTTTTGGCACTGCTGCAGCAAGTCTCGCAACTGCGAACGAATGGACGGCCACGTCCAGAGCTGATAGGCACCCGGTGCCTTTCCCAAGCCGCACCAAATGGCACAAGGCAAGTGATCCCGCACCCACCCTCGACCAGGCTGCCAAGCCTAAATGACTGTGGCACATGCATGTGGTCCATGTGAGACCTGACATCGGAGTGGCACTGGAAACACCTGGTTCTCATGAATGCAAATCACAACATATATATATATACATAATTATATATATATATACACGTTGGAATACACATCCAGTAACCAGCTATTTTGGGTCCCGTTTGGGCACCAGGCTTTTGACCTATAACAAATTTCCCAGGTCCTGAAAGCACTGGTCACGTGGGCCATGCCGGCCCATGGCGCCACGGTACCGACATGGCCGTCCGTGCCAAGAGCGTTGTGGTTTTTGGCCTGTCGCGGCGGGAGCGAAACCGCGCGAGGTGCCAGAAGGAGTAGCTTGGATATGGGAATTCATGTGTTTTTTACACAATTGGGTGGTATTTTTTGATAATTCCAAGACATGAATATCCATAAATGGGTGGATAGTGATTTTATACTACCACCCATTTATGGATATTTATGGATAAACAATCCCAATAATATCCATAAATGGGTGGTATAATGATAAACCCTTAACTTGAGTCGTCACTTTATGGAATGATAATGGAATAGGTTGTTGATGATTAGTGGAATGATTAGTGGAATGATAATGGAATGACTTAAGTGGTATGACTTGAGCAGGAAGATAAATCTGAATCTAGATGATCTAACAGTATGGTTTTTGTTATTTTTCCGCAACAGTCACAAGGTGGTGACCCCCTAGTTAGTTAGTTATAAATTGCTTTATAAAGCCCATTGACTATAGATATATCACCTACAAGGTGGTGCCCCAGTTCGTTAGCTAAATTGGTGCAAATAAGTCCAATTAATCTAGGGTTGATTAGGGAGTTATATCTATAGTTCATGGGGAATTTTAAACCAACAAACATAACTGGGGGGGTACCACCTTGTATAAACCATCGTGAAATTGGAGTTGTTTGCACCAACTTGGCGATCGATCTTGGGGGCAGCACCTTGCATGGGATGATTTTCATGACTGGCAGTCCCCATATGGCCGCACAAAAATCACTAAGGATTCACTTAGTTGCATGATTACCCTCTGGTAAAGTAACAGTTTGCTAGTGAAAATGGTGATTTAGAGTGGATTTGTTCATTAAACATGGTGATTTTCCATAGTTATGTTAGTTTACCAGAGGGTAGTTGGATGATTAGTTGGATGACTAGCGGATTAAACATGGATGATGAGTGGATGGATTGACTAATGAGATATACATAACAAAAATAGTTGGATGATGAGTGGATGAAGTAGTGGAATGACAATGGATGACTTGAGTGGGACGATTCGTGGGATAATGCCTTAGGGAATATACGGGACTGATGGAATATCATGGTATATAATGAGGTGATCATTGATAGGGATCATTTTTTGGTGGTTTTTTCATGATTAGTGGAGTGATACTGGGAATATGATATAACTATAACATACCGACATAGCAATTTTTGCATGGCAGGATGACCAGTGGGATAATTCAAGGATTGATTCCAGGATTCCATGATTTGTCCTCTGGTAAGTTGCTACAGTTTGCGAACTTGAAAATGGCACATTTATAGAAAATATATGTTAATATACCTATGAAACATGGTGATTTCCCGTAGCCATGTTAGTTTACTGGATGGTAACTCTGATCACTTGCTATAACTTGCCGCTGCATCCCCCAACCCGCTTTCTTCACCCTGGTTGCTCACCCGAAAAAAGCTAAGCCACTGAGCATTGGGATGAACAAATCCCTGGCATCATGTTATTAATGTATGGTTAATTAGCCATGTTAATGATGGTTAATGATGGTTAATGATGGTTAATGATGGTTATTCAACATAGCGAACTGGAAAATCACAATCTTGAATAAGTAATTAGATCATAAATCATCTACTTCTATGATTTCTATGGGCCATGTTCCGTAGCTATGTTAGTCATAACCTGAGGGTATATATATATAATATATATAATATGTACACACACACACACCCTACATTCGCCCAGGTTGGAGGCTTTTCTCAAGACCTGTGGCCTCCAGACTGCTTATTATTCCCTGGAGCCTCTGGTTATTGTGTTTCAATAAAAACATCTACAAGGTGGTACCCCCCCAGTTATGTTTGTTGGTTTATAATCCCCATTAACTATAGATATACCCCCCATAAACCCTAGATATTGAAATTGTTGAACCAATTTAGCTAACTATGGGGCACCACCTTGTAGCTTAAGGGTATTCAACCATCAAAATTACGCCGTAGTCTATTTGATTATCGGCTTGTAGATGGACCCAGGATTTCTCACAAAGATTCGGTAGTAAAGAAACAAGTTATGGACTTGTCCAAAATTGTGGTATAACGGTATAACCAAAATTTGCCATTTGAATTGGAAAACGATGAGGAATGAAATGTTGAGACGAGCCATTTGGGATCGATTTTCCATGTTAGGGGGAAAATAGGAGGACTGAGTTTAATCCAAACATATCTGTAGATGAGAGAAACAGTGGGCCCCAGCTTGTATCGTTTTCCGCAATTTCGAAGTCCAACGACTTCTCCCATTGACAGGCGACCACCGCCAAGCAATGAGGTGGAAAAGGTTTCATTGGGCTATGACATATCGCGATGCTGGAGGATGGCTTATGAACCACCTCCTACAGTAAGCCCACCATGAATGTATCACATGTTTATTGCTAGGAATTCATTGTTTCTATCTTTTCCTTGTGTCGTTTCCCCGGAAATTCTCTGCTTCTCTGCACATCCCAACGTCGCGTCGGAGCGGAGTGTCCCAGGTCTCAAGGACGTTCATTCGCGAAGACAGGCCAGCTCAAGCTGGCCCGAGGCGGCCGCTTGTCCCAGTTGGTGGACTAGATATCACTTGAAGTATATGGACATATATATATATTATATATATATTTATAATATATATATATATATTATATATATTATATTATATATATATTATATTATATATATTTTATATTATATATATATTATATATATAGTGTATATATATATCTATCTATCTATATTATATATATATAGTGTATATATATATATATCTATCTATCTAATATATATATATATATCTATCTAATATATATATATATACATGTACATATATATATATATATATCTGGTTGGTGGTTTGGAACCATGGACTTTTATGACTTTCCATTGGGAATAATAATCCCAACTGACGAGCTCATATTTTTCAGAGGGGGTGAAACCACCAACCAGATATATATATATATATATCTATATCTACAGGGTCACGATATTTGCCCTTGGGTTATTTGTTGATTCAGGCATTTCTCCATGTTCAAATTTTGCATCCTTTACAGCACTTTGTGCTTTCTGTGAAAATGAAAGTAGCGTTTCGCTGTGGTTTTGGCACACGCATGTTCGTTTTGTATTGGCATTCGCAGGTTTTTGTTCTTGACTCTCCCAGCTCAAAAGTTGTTTTTTCATTTGCTCGCCCCGTTCGTTTCAAGTCACATGATCTTTCCCAACTCTTTGGTCAAGTTGGCATGGTTGCCCAAATTGCTTCGCCACACAAAGACCCAAACATATGACTCGTATGACATTAGCTTTTCAGCATTCCAGGTCTGTCTTTGACGTGAAGAGACCGAGGCAATGCCTTTTCAAGACTTTGCCACCAACGGTCGACACATTGTGTGCCAGCGACCATTGTCTCAGGTTTCTTCCTGGATCTCACCTTCTTTGCGAACTCATTTTTGTTGTGTGAGACATTCTTTTTTTCAACTTTTGGTGCGCGCTGGGAACAACACTTTGGCCAGCTCTTTGCACCATCAGAATGAAGCTGAGTCTTGCAACCGTTGAAAGCGTAGCATCAAGAGCGTCTTAGAAGTTCTAAGAACGTGTTGAAAGCGTAGCATCCCGAGAGCCTTAGAAGGTGAAAAAAACATATCAGTACGCACACGACAAGAACGTTATTACCCCCCCAACCCTCCAACCCACCCCCACGAACACATGATGTAGTGGAAATTGTGTCAAAATGTAACCAAACGCCAAGGGCGTTTATCAACGTGCCTCCATCTACAGGCGCTAATCATAGAGAACAAAAAGTAAATAGTTGAGTAATTTTTCATGTTTTTTATTTATAATACTATATGTCGAGGTTTCTTAAGTCATGGGGATACCCAGTCGTCACCCCGGGTTTCAATACTAAGTCATGGTCACCCATGACGACTAGATGATAAATTGGGTACCCCCATGTAGTTGTCCCAGCGACTATTTGGATGAGTGGAAACCAGGGCTGACCCGGATTTTCCAACCTAAGAGGTGCATGATAAAGTTGACACATGATTTTGATACGCCCCCAGTTGGTTCATAGGGAGGGGAATCCATTTTACATGGTCCTTTCTGATTGTTTTGGTGGTAATTCCTTAATTGTTATAGCGGTTGACGCTCAAGGGAGTGGTGCAGTCTTTGATTTCCCCAGGATCGTCCCGGCAACTCGCTCTCCTGGCAATCCAAAAGAATCAACAGAAGGTATATTCCCATATATCATTAACCACGATGTATAATATAAACATTACATCTAATATTACATATGTATGTATATCAACATACTCCATTATATTACTATATTTGTATTTAACCTTTGCTATTGACTAGGGCACGTATGGTTGCACTCTTCCATTGTTAAATGAGTCAAATTGGAGCCTATGGGAAATTCTGGGAACATATCGGACCGTCATGCAGTCACACGAGATATGAGTATCATATTGGCTAAACATGAGGGTCTGATAATCCAAAGATTTTCTTGGATTTTTGATGTTCCACAGCAACATCAGCAAGCACGCGGTTGACTTACTCGTTGGCAACCATGATTGTTTTTGAAACCATTAATATGGAAACAACCGATATGCGTCGTCCTAACTTGCCAAGCATGGCCAGCAAATTTGTTGCTTACCATCGCTCAGACGAGTATAGATCAATTTGTTCTAGTCCAAATCCACAGAGTTTAGTCACTGTCCATGCGTACTACATCATCAACACATGCAGGACGATGTTCCAATTTAAGCTATTGGTCGCTCACTTCAGGTTTTGTTGCATCCCCACATGACCATCAATTCTCGGTTTGTTTTCACAATACTGTTCCTTTCCTCGAAATCTTACTGAAGACATAGGGGTTTCCTAAAATAGAGATACCCCAAAATGGTTGGTTTATAATGGAAAATCCAAATCTAACATGGATGATTTGGGGGTACCCCCATGACTTAGGAAACCTCCATATGATCAATTGACTTTTTGGGAACCCCTTCTTCGGATCACCGAACCCTGAGGATGGACTTTATCCAATTCATCTCGCAGCCATTCAGGGCAATTACAAGGTCATGCGTGCCTTGCTCGCGTCCAACGTGGACTCTGAGAGCAGGTGCCCTGATGCTCGACTTGCGAGAAGGGTTTGGACTGCCGTTTTTGATGGGGCCACACAAGAAACAGGGCGTGTGCGAGAATGGGGATCTTGACAGTAAAGATATGCATACATAAAGGGTTTCACATAGTTTCACATGGTGAAAACCATGTTTCATCGAGGGCTGGAGCCAAAACCCTCCAGTCACGTTGGTGCCACAACCTCTGTGGCATGAAATGCCTTTGCCAAGTGCCTTAAGTACACACTGGGATCTACCCACTCTTGTTGTTTGGTGAAATTTTGAATATATCAACCTCGTATTTGCATGTTTGCTGCCCAAGTGACAATTGGTTCCAATTGCCATCAATTACCTACTCTATGAGTTTCTGCTGTGAGGCTGATTTGTTGGTTGAACAGCGCATGTCATCTAGTGGTGCATATTTGTTGAATACTGTTCTTATTACTAGATGTTACTAGTATACAAAGTATATATATATATATATTATATCAAATATAAGTATATATATATACATATATCTATTGCAGATTTTCATATGATGTTATCATTATGTTATCCCTATGATTGTTGCTGATGATTTGATTGGTTCCGGTCCGGTGAAATGTTGATCAATGGTTTGTTGTGTGCTGTTGAAATCCACATTTCTATTGGTTGGATCTCATTATGTCCCATTCCTGTCCCTTGAATATCCACATTTAGAAATATGTGTTCATCACGTTTCTTTCGTGAACAATTCTTTTGCAAACAAAAAAATATTTGAGCAAAAAGAACACCTTGCTTTCCACAGCACTGCTTGTTTGGTTTCAACCCTGTTTCGGACTGGTGCATCACGGCACTCAAACCCTGGAACACTTGTATGTTTACCGGGTGTAACATGGTTCAAAGTTGGATTCTTCATCTTTTAATCTCCAAACAGATCGAAATTTGTATCCAATTCAAACATACCCTCTGGCAAATGCTTACGTAACTATGGAAAATCACCATGTTATGAAAATGGGTAAATCCACTATGTCTATGGCCATTTTCAATAGCTTTCTGTTAGTTTACCAGAGGGTAGATGAGATATGGCTACATAATGCTATATATGTATATAAATATGGATTATCAATGAATAACAATAAGACACTATATATTATCTAAATATATGACTTGCTATGCTAGGGGATGGTCCTCCATCAATTGCTTGGTGCAGGAGCCCTGACGGCCGAACAGCCTTGGACTATGCTGAAAAGCTCAATCAGCGTCCGGGTACGAAATGGGCAACAAATATGAAAATTACCAGTGATACAGATTAATGGGTCATACATTACTGTGTGTATAGAGGTAAATAGATATATTTATATATATTTATACATAGAGAAGGAGGGAGGGAGAGAGAGAGAGAGAGAGCGCAAGGTTGTGAACCACGGATCCTTTTTTGATGGCACATCCAAGTCGAATTGTTGGTCTTGTCCGCCGTAAAAAAGTCAAATGTGAACCATGTTGAGTGTGGGTTAACAACAATTGTATCATAGTCCAATGGTATGTTCATAGCTAAAACACAATCTTTTTCACAGCCACTATAGGTTAACAATTGTTTTATGGATAAGTCTATGGATATATATATATATATACATACACAGATACATACACAGATACATACATATCTGGCAAACAGTAACAACTTACACATAGGTATCAAAGTGAAAACATGAATATATAACTATGTAACAATTATACCTATACTTAACCAATAGGGTTATAACGTTGGTAAAACAATAATGGGTTGTATAAACATTAATCTGCTTTGCTGGTAACCATGATATTGTTTTACCAACATTGCATGTTTAGTGATGATATTATGAATCATGAATATCAATGAAACACTATATCACTATATATATATATTATACTATATGAACCCCACTATATCAATAATCACTATCAATGAACCACTATATTGATAGTAAAGATAAACATCTGGTTGGTGGTTTCAAACATTGCTTTTATGTTTGCATCATATATGGGATGTCATACTTCCCGTTGACGAACCCATATTTTTCAAGATGGGTAAAAACCACCTACCAGGAAAGTTCTGGAATCATGGGGAAGTCATGCTTGGCGCTGGGGAGATCTCAAAAAACCAGAACCACGCCACGCTGGATGTGCTTATTCTATGCGTGAATGACTGATGGATGTTACACATTTTAGTCACACAGCGGCAGTATGGTACAACACCATCAGTCATATGAGATAAAATAATTTATGACAACATTTTATGGTTAACATAGCAGTATGGTACACATGGATGGATGGATGTTACACATGTTCGGTACAACACCCTCCCCAAAACGCCGAGGAACGGGTCCCATGAGGACGTCCTGTTCCTCCTTCGTGGAAAAGTCCCTGGGTTTCAAACGCCGCTGGAAACGACCGTTACCGTTTAAAAACGACCGTGAACATGGTGAGTTGATGATGATTGAATGGGATATATAGGACCATATATATATATATATATATATATATATAGTTCTCTTTATATTTAGTTATATATATATAGAGTTTTATATACATATAGATATTCGTAAATATACATAAATATACATAAATATACAGAAAGATATATATATATATATACTACCATATATATATATATGGGTTTTACTGTATTCTGATTTAGCTAGCTAAGTTGGTGAACATACAACTCCAATAGCTGGGTAGTTTTTTTTTGTGGATGATAAGTGGATGATCAGTAAGTTTTATGTGGATTCTATGTGGATTATATAACCTTTACTTATCCCATCTTATCCCACTGATGGGATCTCCTACTGGATGAGCCAAAAACCCCAGGTCAAGGTCCTGAGCTTGCAAGCTGCAGTGAAACACATGCAGCAGGACACGGCATGGTCAAAATGCCGGGAATCTGCTGGGAAATGCTCCGGAAATGCTGGAAAATGCTGTTTTTCTGACCATCGAAGAGTTGTTTTTTGCTTTGTGAAACTGATGTAAACTGATTGATTCATGACGACTGGATGCTAAATGGGGTAACCCCCATGACAAAACGGAAACCTCCACAAAGGCGGTGCATGGCAGGTCAGCATCAAACTTCTGGGGCTGTTTGATCACCTCAGCCGTAATAAAATGATGGATTGCTCCTGTAAAGCGCAAATGTTGGCACCATTCCTGTCGCATCCTGTAACCAGATCTGGCAAGCTGGGACCCATCTTGGCAAAGATGACCGTTGCCAACTGAATCGACCATCCCCCATGATGATCACCATTAGTTTTTTAGCCACAGTTTGGTGGTTTCAGTGAACTCCACCGCTTGTTTATTGTGTTTGCGTTTTCTTTGACAGTTCTAAATGGAATCAACATGTTTCACATGGTTTTGTGATATGTTGCGTTAAGATTCTTGATGGTTGCGTCAGTTGGGGCATGTTTTTTCAACCATGGATCCGACTCGGAGTTCTCTGCTGGCAGGACACCGAGTTTGATGCCATGGCACATACCCTCTTCTTCCCCGAGACGGAGAGGCGGCTGGATGATGGTAATGGGGATGTCGGATCGATTGGGGATGTACACCCAAACGGTGCTGGGTAAGTCTCTGGTTTTGGAGCTTTGTTTCACATGATGTTCAATTACTCTAGTTGTTGGAGGTTATATCCTCAATAGTTTGGTGAAATTCAAGGAGGACATTTACCACTGATAATTATGGTATATAATTAGGATAATCATCTATACATTGTATATTATCTTTCGGATAATCATATACAATCAGGATACAATTAGGATAAATATGTATATATATATATATTGTAATTCAGATTTAATGATAGATGATTATAATTAGGATATAATTAGGATATATCTATATTCACCAACTTACTTGGACATTGACCAACCCCTGGTAAGCGGATCATGGATATCCCACGGCAGGACAATCACGGTGACAATCACGGGTTTTGACCCATCCGCAAGTCTCCAAGTTGGTTTCTCCAAGAAGGTACTGCAAGAACTTTATCCACCAGTTCTACACATCATTTCGCCACATTAACATGTCATGTTTGGCATTTAGAGACTTGAACAGTTGTGTTTTCCCGATGAACATGTCATGCTGTCATGCGTGTTTTTTTACAGAATCTAAAAATCTTGAAAGCATCCACTTTCCCCCATGAACATGTCATTAGTTTGTGTTTACAGAACTTCAAACCATCCGTTTTGTTCATCATTTTCCTATACTGTATGTTTACCATCATTTTCCCATCATTTTCCCATCATGTTCCAATCATTTTCCCATCATTTTCCCAACATGTTCCCATCATTTTCCCAACATTTTCCCATCATTTTCCCAACATTTTCCCATCATGTTCCCATCATTTCCACCATGAAAATACCATTTTCCATCTTTCTCCATCCTTTTTTTTGCCGTGGACAAACATCTCGGCTGGCGCCAGACTCCCTGAGATGATTCGACCCACCAGGAGATGAGATGTTTGTATATATATATATATAAATGTGTATGTGTCATATTGCTTTACCAACATTGGCCATTGTCTCCTAGTGTTCCGTTCCCGCGGGGCCCGTCGGGCCCGTGGGGCCCGTCGAAGCCCGTGAAGCCCGTGAAGCCCGTCGGGCCCGTGGGGCCCGCCCGTGGGGCCCGTGGGGCCCGTGAAGCCCGTCAAGCCCGTGGGGCCCGTGGGGCCAGGGCAGGGTCAATGAATGCCTTTTGTTTTCTGGTCTTCTTCTACGAACTCCTCTGTGTGACTGTCGGTGCCCGAACTTACCTGTAATTTCAATTATTTTGCATATGATTAATGATTGTTTCTAATATACTTCTATCATCTTCTACCTAAGTGTATAAGTATATGTGTATAAGTATGTGTGTATAAGTATATGTATATAAAGATATATGTATATAAAGATATATGTATATAAAGATAAATGCAGAGCTCAGATATCTTTAAAGTATATGATCCAACCCCTTCTACTCGTGAAATCCCAAGATGCACTGCCGTGTTTTCGCGCCATAAAATATATGAATGGACCACTGGGAGGGAGCGAACCGCTCTGTGTGCGGAAGTTTCCAAGCATACCCCCAGTGGTCAATACTAGATATGATGGTATGGTGTGATGATTGGATTGCTTTCATTTCTAATTTGAAGTATTCAAGTGAAATTTGTTCATGCTGCCTTTTGCTTCTGCTAATGATGATGCGCTGACTATTTTTTTGCTATAGATGATGATGAACCCCACCCACATATATTATAATATCTAAAAATTATTCTCTGTTTCTTTTGAAAATTCTTACCCCTCCACATTTGACGAAAATAAAATCTATGAGACAATAGAATGCCAGAAGATTTGCCAGATAGAATGCCAGAAAATATGCCAGAAGATATGCCAGATAGATATGCCAGAAGATATGCCAGAAGATATGCCAGAAGATATGCCAGAAGATATGTCAGAATATATGCCAGAAGATATGTCAGATAGAATGCCAGAAGATATGTCAGAATATATGCCAGAAGATATGCCAGATAGAATGCCAGAAGATATGTCAGATAGAAGATAGCCAGAAAGAATATGCCAGATAGAATGCCAGAAGATTTGCCAGATAGAATGCCAGAAGATATGGTATGCCAGATAGAATGCCAAATAGAATGTCAGAAGATATGTCAGATAGAATGCCAGAAGATTTGCCAGTAAGAAAATGTATAAATGTCATGGTGGGGATCACACGAAGTAAAGTAATTTTGCTTAAAGCTTTGTAGCTAAATCTTCGTGTGCAGAAGCTTGATAAGAAAGCTTTTCAGACATGTTCATGTCCATGGCACAAGTTCTTGGTGGCAGAAATTGTTAAGAAAATGTGGTAGACATGTTCAGGTCCGGGGCATAAGTTCCGTGCCCCCGTGAGCCCGTGGGCCCGTGGTCCGGGGCGTAAGTTCCGTGAGTCCGTGGGCGCCCGTGAGCCCACGGGCCCGTGGGCCCGCGAGCCCGTTGGCCCGTGGGCCCGCGAGCCCGTTGGCCCGTGGGCCCGTGGATGGGCCCGTGGGCCCGTGGATGGGCCCGTGGTTGGGCCCGTTCGCGGGCCCGCGGGCCCGCGGGCCCGTGGCGGGCCCGTGGAACACTAGCGGACGCTTCTCCCAACATTGCATGTTTAGTGATGATTTTATTGATTTACCAACATAGCCATGGAAAATGTCCCATTTATGGATGATTTTCCCATTAAAACCTTCATTTAGAAGGGATTTTCCATGGCTACGTTAAATAACCAGAGGGTATATATATATATATGTACATGTCATATAATCATATAATCATATATATATATACTATATGTACCCAATTATATCAATAATCAATATCAGTGAAACACTATATTGATAGTAAATATATAAATATCTGGTGGTTTCAAACATGTTTGTTTTCCATGTCATATATGGGATATCATCCTTCCCATTGACTTTTATACTTTTCAAGACGGTTAAAACCACCAAAAAAAAAATATATATATACATAGATCGTGTATAGACCCCGGTTCCGATTTGCTTGGTGATAGGGACCGTTGTTACCCTCAGGTTGGAAGGGCGTTTTGCTTGGCAATCAAGAACCTGGAACATATTTCAGGGCAAGAAATACAGTTTATTGCGTGTTTACCTTTATTATCCCTTTCTGTTGTGCTTTGAAACCTTTTTGTTCAGCTGCAACTTAGTTGCTAAGTTTAAATGGTGCACTCAATCATCTAGAGGATGTCATTCATTAGAAAAAAACAAACGACATTTAGGGTGTTGTTCAATCACATTCTGGTCATTTAACTGTTTGCTCTAGAAAATCACCTTTAAAAGACTAAAGCATCCTAAATCATTTACCCTCTGGTTATTGAACGTAGCTACGGAGAATCACCATTGTTAATAGGGAAATCATCAAAAATCATCTATTAATGGACCATTTTCCATAGCTATGTTAAATAACCAACGGGTATATCTATTTGCCATGACTTAACCATCGCTATGTAACAAATACCCAGAGGGTGAATCGCTACGAAAAAAACATGGGCTCTGAAAATAGGCTACGTGCCCCAATTCCAATATGGATTAGAACCTCACTGGTTGGTGGTTTGGAACATGAATTTTATTTTCCCCAATACTTGGGATGATGATCCAATCTGACTTTCATATTGTTCAGAGGGGTTGAAGCCACCAACCAGCTCATTTTTCCTATGAACTTCAATGAAATGTTTTTTGTATATATGTTCAGACACAACCATATGGAGGTTTCCTAAAATAGGGGTACCCCCCAAAATCATCTAATTGGGATGTTCCATGAAATAAACCATCCATTTTATAGGGCTACCTCCATTCCAGGAACCCCCCATATAGATACAAATACCATATGGAGAATATTCCTGGATAATCTGGATATTGATAATCTCCATGAAATCTCCAGCTCCATCCATTTTCGCTGAAAGTTCCATGCGGACGCAGGATTCGCAAGATGGCACTGTAACTCCGGAACGAACGTTTGGCGCCGGAAGGCTGCCGCTGCAAGTGGCATATGTAGATATGTAATAAGGATACCCTCTGGTAATAAATGGGCTAAGGCCCTGGTGCCGCCGACCCCCTTGTAAGGCCCCTCCGACATCTTGCATGTGTGTGAGGATCGATGAAAGAGTCACTGCTGTCTCCAAATTGTCCCGCTGCTGCAAGTGCTCAGGAAGCCCCTTTTTCCCATGATGATGTGTGTATCATCTTTTGCATTGAAGCTGAACCAGCGCGTAAGGCTACTGTCCTGTGTGATTTCATCACCTTCCTTAATTCAGAACTGATGCTATGAATTTGATGACGTCTATACCGTATATGTCCATGTGGGGATGAGACACAAGGGCACAAGAAGCCGTAGGACATGCCAACAGTAGCAGAAACTAAATTGAGACAAGGTGTCCAAATCCTCGGGGAAACAGGGATGATATCCCAGATTACATTGCCCCCAGGTTATGTAATTAGTCAAATGCGATCAAATATGGTTTGGAAAAGTTTAGCATAACTTTGATCTTAGAACCTTCCAGTCCTGTTTGAACCCATGTTTGGCCAACACGGCCAAAAGGCGCAGGGAGTCCATGGTGTTCAAGGACATTAAATGTCCACCCCCAACACAACTGGGATCGAGAAACCCGTTTGCCTTTGAGGAACAAAAATCCTTTTCGGTTTTGTAGATGCACGTAGCAGTTTCGAAACTCCTTAAAGATACATGACCAAGCACCTTGGAAGGCTGGAGTGAGGCAAGGAGGCCGTAGCAGGCCAGAGACGTGAGGCAAAAGATACATGACCAGGCAGCTTAGCAGTTTCGAAACGCCTTAAAGATACATGCCCAGGCAGCTTGGAGGGGCCAGAGCGGTGAGGTGAGGCAAGGGCTGTGCCGTATATAGACCCAAAATAGACCCAGTTGGGCGGCTGAAGCAGGACGGCCGTCGACAGATGCAGGCTCGTGCTGACACAAGCGGGCTAGTTTGACACTGTTTGAGGTTTTTGGGGTTTTAAGGCTTTTCAAGCCTGGCTAAAACGTGCCACGTAGCAGTTTCGAAACCCCTTAAAGATACATGCCCAAGCAGCTTGGAAGGCTGGAGCTGTTTGAGGTTTTTGGAGTTTTAAGGCTTTTCAAGCCCGGCTAAAACGTGCCACGTAGCAGTTTCGAAACTCCTTAAAGATACATGACCAAGCACCTTGGAAGGCTGGAGTTGGGCAAGGAGGCAGTAGCAGGCCAGAGACGTGAGGCAAAAAATACATGACCAGGCAGCTTAGCAGTTTCGAAACGCCTTAAAGATACATGCCCAGGCAGCTTGGAGGGGCCAGAGCGATGAGGTGAGGCAAGGGCTGTGCCGTATATAGACCCAAAATAGACCCAGTTGGGCGGCTGAAGCAGGACGGCCGTCGACAGATGCAGGCTCGTGCTGACACAAGCGGGCTAGTTTGACACTGTTTGAGGTTTTTGGAATTTTAAGGCTTGTCAAGCCTGGCTAAAACGTGCCACGTAGCAGTTTCGAAACCCCTTAAAGATACATGCCCAAGCAGCTTGGAAGGCTGGAGCTGTTTGAGGTTTTTGGAGTTTTAAGGCTTTTCAAGCCTGGCTAAAACGTGCCACGTAGCAGTTGCGAAACTCCTTAAAGATACATGACCAAGCACCTTGGAAGGCTGGAGTTGGGCAAGGAGGCCGTAGCAGGCCAGAGAGGTGAGGCAAAAGATACATGAGCAGGCAGCTTAGCAGTTTCGAAACCCCTTAAAGATACATGCCCAGGCAGCTTGGAAGGGCTAGAGAGGTGAGCTGAGGCCTAGTGGTTCTAGCAGGCCACAGCTGCACACCAACCCCTTAAAGATACATGACCAGGCAGCTTGGAAGGCTGGAGTGAGGCAAGGAGGCCGTAGCAGGCCAGAGACGTGAGGCAAAAGATACATGACCAGGCAGCTTAGCAGTTTCGAAACGCCTTAAAGATACATGCCTAGGCAGCTTGGAGCGGCCAGAGCGGTGAGGTGAGGCAAGGGCTGTGCCATATAATTTAGGGGTTGCTTCTAACAGTAACTAGACCCCTTTCTTTAGGAGGTATATGTACTGATATAAGGGTATGATTCCATAACCATAAATTACCCTTAGATATCCCAAAAATGACCCTTAGATATCCCAAAAATTACCCTTAAATATCCCAAAAATTAACCTTAGATATCCCAAAAATGACCCTTAAATATCCCAAAAAGTACCCTTAAATATCCCAAAAATTACCCTTAAATATCCCAAAAATTACCCTTAAATATCCCAAAAATTACCCTTAAAATATCTCTAAAATCACACCACAATTACCATCAAAATACCACCCAAAAAACCGTTGGCATCAGTTCAAGGTATATTGGGGTTGTCCAAGATGTTTTGTTCTAGAACTCCAAAGGGTATTGTTTTGTTTGAAGCATATTCATCAGGGTGTATGTTTTGGATTACACATCAAATAACGGGTGATTTCACAGCTGCCCTTCTGTTGAACATCCCATGGGCTAAAACATACAGAAACAACATTCACTTATCCTGGGGTAAACTGACATAAATGTGGAAAACCTACCAGTTATTACCAATTGGGGACCATTGGTTTTCCACATCTGTGTTAGTTAACCCTAGGGTATTGTTTTGACCACGAAAGATGTTATGTGCAAATAACATATTATATAAATCATGATTATATAAACCTTGGGGTATCGGCGTGGTAGGTCGTTTGGAACATCCGGGTTGGGCTGTGGTCGTGTCAGAAGTTTGTGTGTGTGTGCCGCTAGTTTGTTGCGCAAATGGCAGACTTGTTGGATCTTGTGCTTGCCAGTGATGGAAAAGAGTGTGCTCCAGTTTCACAAGTGAGTGAAACACATGGAGGCACTGCTGAGGCAAGCCCAAAGTTGCCCAAATTTCGTTCCATGTCTATCCGGGGTATGGTAGGCAATGGCCGACATGGCGACGTTGCTGATCGCAAGCTGCTCTGTTTTCACATGAGGGCCCAGAAACAAACCAGATCGTTACATTCAAAGCTTTCTGCAATGGCCTCCAAATTGCAAGGGTCAACCTTCAAGAAAGGTGGGAAGGCATACAAGGTGAAGATTTCAACTCAAAAAAAAGGTTCTGGTATCCGTTTGACATTGGAGAAGATATCTAGCAAGGGAAGCCGCTTTGTTAGAGCAATTTGTTTTTCCAAGTTCCTGGAAGCTGCCTTCAGCCCCAGCTGTTGCAATATTGCAATAGCGGCTCGTTTGGAAGTTCACCCCTCCACAATCCCGAAGCTGCAGAAGACGTGTGCGTCCCTGAGTATGTGCACGCAGGGTAAGTTTTTGGCACAGCTCTTGCTCTTCTGCAGGAGCAAACCGCCAGTTGTGGCAATGAGGAAACTCAGAATGGACAAACCACCTCAAGTGCATTTTTCTTTTCTATTTTGCCGGGTTTTCTGGTTCGACTTTTTGGTCATAGATAGTTATAGACGTCATAGCTGTAAGTAGACTATATGACATATTGGGTGGGTCATAAATAAGTCAGAGTCATAGGTTATGTTATGTAATGAGTTATGTTATGAGTCCTGTTTTTTTGCGCTGGTTTTACTGTGAGTTGTTCCAACGCAATTCACGGATGTCAAACACCCGACACATTCAACTTCTATTTCTGTATTTGAGGGATGTCATGTCAGTGGGTAACACAATGAGAAAAATCAATGGAAAATTAGAGTCAGATGTTTATATTGACATTGACATTGATGTTCAATTCATTACAATCACATTAACTTTGTATTTATATTACTATAAACAACACAACATAATCAATTATACACTGTTGGCAATGTAGACTGTTTTGAGTTCTGATAGATATGGTGATGATAGATTTGGTGTGGCTGGATGTTCGAAATCAAAAATGGTCTCAGGATTTTATAGCTTGTGGTTTCTTATGTAAAAATCGATGGCATCTTCCCCCAAATCACATTGGGTCTTGATATCATTTGGCCTAGGCGAATCAAATGGGATGAGACCACAGTATTCACAACGCTGGCTCCTGGTGGTGGGCAGCCAGTGAGGTCTTGCTGGTCAGTGATGCAAGTTCGCGAATGGGTGAGGATTGTCTGGGCTGATGGTCAAGTATTGGAATTTCCCGTGGTCTCTCAGCAAGGACTGTTCATGTTATGTGTTTTGTTTTGACGCCTTGCTTGCCCCATTAACTGCTGAATATATTTCATTCTAGTAAGTCTTGTTTTGCGACTTGGCACCGCTAGGAAACGAGGAGTGGCACAGATTAAAGGTAGTAAATAAATACTGTTGGTGTAACATATATATCATATATTATATAAGCATTTATAGACTATGATTGTATTATCATATCAAATAATATCATCATACAATCATATAACGTATCATATCATCAAGAGACATATATTAAATTTCATATGCAAGCACCTGTCGTATCTATACATTTCTTTTGGTCCATCCACTTCCTGATTTTAGTAAATAGGTTGTTCGTAGTATTGATGGGTTTGATCTCCTTCGACTTTGAACCACCAGCAGGGTTTGTTGTTTTGAAATGAGGGAAAATTGCGTCCTGTCCTATCAGGTTATGCCACCCATACCTTTGATTTCGTGTTCTGCAGAACAGATGTACTTTGGTTTGAAGTACCATCCGTCGTATCATGCAACACACGGTCTTCTTGAAAAGATTGCATCCTGCGCCACACTTAAGCCGTGTGTGTTGCATGAAGTCGACGGAGCTTATTCCAACTTGCGACTGAACTCCTTTCTTTTGTCTCAGCCACAGTTTGACGGCACAAAACCAGAGGGGACATATTTGGATTCTTCCCGATGCCAGAATCATGCGAGTCATTTGGTGACAGTTCAAGTACTTTCTTTAGTCGGCTGTAACTTGCTGTCGAAGCTCTATCAACTCGCAAGCTTCTTGGGAAACCTTGGTTACCTCCTCAGGCTTCAAACAGCACTCGCAGATTGGCTTGAAAAAGAACTGGATTTTCAGCCGGGTTACCACTTAAACTTGGTGGAACCTGATCCATTGATGGACGAAATTTTTGATTTCATTGAAAGTTGGCATCGAAAAGAAGCCAAGGAAGGTTCGAAACAAAACACTATTTTTCAAAGGAAATTGGCATCTTTCAGGGAGATGTTCAATGGCAGTGCTACTGGACCACCGCAACACAAGTGCAATTGCAATCTTGTAGGGTCTTCGGATGCTCATTGCAAGTCACGTTCGCATGCTGCAAGGAAAATGAGCAAGGTTCTCATTGATCTCCTTCTATCATCACTCCCTTCGGCACCAACGCCGAACAAGTGGACCAAATTGTGGCGTCCACTGGATTTCGTTGCCATTGGGTTGCTGTTGAACAGATGGTTGCCTTCTATTTTTTCTGTAGCCTTCAAAGCAATGGAATTCAAAGAGATGTTACCGAACAGTGAACTGGACAACCTTGATCCTCGTGTTGTTGAAGGTCTGCATTTCCATGAAGTTCAAGGTAGACGTTTCAAAGGAAGCCAGGAGTTTTTGATGTCCACAGATTGCAATTTTGCAATACGACTCTTGTTGGTAGCACTGGAACCTCTACGGTTTTTGACACATGTATGGCTAAGCCATTTGGATGCCGCAAAGACCGGGAAAAGATATCCCCTATATTGTTTGCTGGATGATCGCAGCAGTCCTGTGATAGCTGTTTTGCAGAGGATTTCGCACATGCTGCTTTCTGATGAGGGTGAAGGCCGATTGTTGTTTGTGTGGCGTCCATTGTGCCCTTCATTTCAGCAATGGTGCCAGCTGTATCCAGAGCAGGTTGGGTCTGTGCGACATGTTTTCATGTCTGTCTCTGGGTGGGTCTACAAAAGGCACTTGGTCTACTGGCATCAATTTCCATGGTTGTTGACTGTGCTCTGCGACCCAAATGCTGACCCAGCGTTTGTGGATTTTGTCAGTGACTTGTGGGATTCTTCCAATGTTTGCTGCCTGCGCCCTGGCTTAGCGCGTGATTTGAAGAGAGCTGGTTTCACATCTGCATCATTTCGAAGGGATGCGATTTTTGCCAGCATTTTGATCGATGTTTTGTCTTACACCCCCGATTGGAATTTGACAGCGAGTTTTCGGGAACCCAACAGTATTTTAAGCCGTCACATCGTTTTTTTTACTAACAGTTTATATTTATAATATTAAACATTGTCATATTGATGAGTTCTTATCAAACCATATCAAATCTATATGGGTGAGTTAGTATGTGTTAGAACCATATCATATGACATATGATATCACCTCAAAACAAGCCATAATCACGTTCGTTCATGCGTCATGATTTTGAAATAGTAAACATGTATCACTTTTATTATATGTTGTTATTTGGTTATTATAGTCATGTTTTTATATAACTTTTCATATCATATCATACCATATCATATCATATCATTGCATGACCATATCATACCATAGAGCCATAATATGTTTTATCTGACCGACATGGTATTTCCCCACCTGCCAGGTGAGGGTTGTTAGATTTTATGTCAGTTGCCTGCTCCTCTCCTCCTCTCCTCTCCTCCTCCTCCTGCTCAACCGCGACCCTCGACGCACAGTGTTCTCTGTCGGACCTCAACCACGACCATCCACGCCCAGTGTTCCCTGCCGGACCTCAACCACGACCATCCCCGCCCAGTGTTCCCTGCCGGACCTCAACCACGACCATCCACGCCCAGTGTTCCCTGCCGGACCTCGGCCGCGAGTATCCACGCCAAGTGTTCCCTGCCGGACCTCATGTAGGAAGATATGGAACAAAGAATGTGCAGAAGAAAGTTAGAAAGAATGTCAGACAAGTATGTTATATATTACTTGCAAACTCGCGCGTGTGTGGTAGAGTGACCGGGGCAATGCCACTTCTTACTTTGCAGGTGGCAAAGTTTGAAGCAATCAGTTTGAACAGATGACAGAGTCACTGGGGTGGACAGAGACATTTCCACTTCTGTACCTTTGGAGCTGTTTGCAAAGACGCTTGAGACAGGCAACATCTTACAGCAAGTTACTTCACATGGCCCACTGACATGTTTATATCCTGTTTGACAGATTGACATGCACAATGACCTGCCAGGTGAAACAAATGATTGGGATAGTTAGTTGGGCAAAAGTCCCGTGACAAAAGCTTCAGACAAAAGTGGTGTCAACAAGCTGTTTTGAAATGTCATGGTGGGGATCACTCGAAGCAAAGTAATTTCAATCAAGTCATATGATGTCATGACACTCATATTCGAAATCAATCATACAACCAACATTTTATAACATGAAGAAAATCATTACTCACCCCATGATGCGTATGACGGCTATTCAGCAGTACAGACTAATACTTACTAACTGCACAATTAGATAATTAGATGGCATCTTTCAAACCATACAGCTCAAAAGACACCTCTTGTTTTCATTTCGTAGCATGCCAGCTCAGGAGATGGTTGCAATTCTTCGAAAGCATGGCTGCCATTACAACCACATCAATCGCTGATGTGGAATGTAAGCATGCACTTGCAAAACACTGGGCTGACAGGCCATTTCCAACAATGGTTGCCAAACATATCAACTCCGAGTTCAGATCCGCAAAGTTGGATGCTCAAACCACAACTTCCAAACAGTTGTGTATGGAAGGCAAATTACCAGGCTGTTCTGAATCAAAAGCAAGCATCATGGTACAGGTGAAAGAGAAACAGATTCGTTCCAAGTCATCGTATATGTTTTTCCGGGACGACTACATTCGATCGCAGAAGGCACTTGGGAATACTGTGAATCCTGCTTCAAAAGGGTTTTGGGCTGAGCTGAAGGTAGCTTTCAATTCCCTGACATCTGATATGCGTGCTTTCTATGATTCTATGGCAGCCACATCTTCAGAGGATGCCAGGCAGAAACGGCGTGACAAAAAACGTGATCAACAGCAGTTGACTGCTGAATCCAATTCTTCAGAGGTTGCCGTGTCGAATTTGAAGGTTGTAGTCTACAATCCCGGGTAGCCCCTGCTGAAGCAATGGATTCATCAACGAATTTCAGTGACATGTGTGGTGCCATAGAGAAATCTTGGCAGTCTTGCAGCGCGCATGCGTCTGCACTGGGCGATGATATCAATTCTGTCAGTCCTATCACTGAGAACATGCTCGAAAAATCCTGGAAAGAGAATTTGAAACGTGGCATCACATGGGCAGGGTCTTTACAGCAATTTGATCGTGAATCTCAGAGGTTTGCTAGGCCAGCCTTGGCTGATGAATTTCCAAAGAAAGTTCATTACCAAAGTTTTTGTGGTGCCTTTTGTCGCTCTTCTCACAGCATGAAATTGGTCAGAATGTTTCAATCTTTGCTGGATGAGTTTTCTGATGTCGTGCGGAGCATGGGTTCTGTTGCCGAAGCGTCAAAAGAGCACATTCTCTTACAGTTCACTGTTCAGACTGGATTTGATCAGAAGGACTTCTTTGCTTGGATGGTTGCCCCCTCAGCGACCAGTGGAATCCAACAGGCTCAGCAAATCTTTGTTCTCTGCAATTTTGCAGGTTTCACAGATGAGGACGTCGATCCTTGTTATGGGAATATAACATCATTTAAATCATATATGTACTTTATATATAATATACATATATATATAACAATAAGAAATAAATCATATAATCAACAAATATGTAAAATATAATTGATAATTCATATCACTATATTATTAATATTGTTACTATTATTGTTATATATCTTATTTTCTATTATTTATCTTCTATTAGCTAAACAATGCTCATGTCATATTGATAATATAGACATAGATATTGACATTGATACTACTATAAAAATATAGTCTTAGTTATAGTCCCCAATTTTTCTTACTCTCCCAAAGGGAAAGACCCTCATTATCATAATCTTCATATCCAACAGCCAAGGACAAGTTCTATTTGGACTTGTATACTTTGCCGAAGGTTGAGTCAACTTCGGACTTCTCACCGATCGGGTGTCGAGTTGGCCCTTTGCACCAGCTGGTCAGCGATGAGTTTGCCAGGTACATTTTGGAGCATGGAGGTGGCATGGACGGCATGGACTTCAACAATCCTGACCTTTGGCCACAGCAGGTCGTCATCAACAAATTGGTCTTTGAGAACGTGTCCCTGTCGAGGGTTCTTGTGACTTCCAAGTGTCCCGTTTTTGAGCCTAGGGTTGTCATGCTAGACCCCAAAGAAACAGATGAGGTGGATGAACAAGAAGCCATAGCGGGGGAGGAACAACAAACCCCCATTGCCGAAGCGGTGTGTGATGATTTGATGAGCATGGTCATGGAAACGAGTTCAGCAGAACCGACTGCCAAGAAAAGAGGTAGGAAACCCAAAGAAAAGTCTGAGAGTTCAGCTCAGTTTAGAAAGAGATATTTAGAAAAGGCATTGAATCAACAAGAGGAGAATCCCACATTGCCAGCAGAAACAGAACTTGGGATTGATCAGCCGGTGTTCCAACAACTTGTGAATCTTCTTGGGGATGAGACATTGGTTTATTCCTTAGATGAAGCAGCAGCAAAAGACTTGATTGCAGCTTTTGATATGTGCAGCGAGCAAGAGAACCACCTTCCAGCAGATGCAACGTTTGATCTGCAAGCCGAAGATGATGCAGCCATTTCCGAGGAGATTTTCACTGATGCTGATGCTAGCTCAGCCAACGCTTCAGACAATGTAGGTACTTCCCATCAGTCTGTAGGATCAGCGGCAGCGAGTAGTTCATCGGTTCCAGTGTCAGAACCAGTAGCTCAGAGTTCAGGCGGCTGTTCTACACACGAAAGTGTTTTGAAAACCTTGAGTGATGGCACTGTTTTGAAGCTCCTTCAATTCAAAGAGCTTCGGCAGAGAAATTGTGCATATGAAGTGCGTCGATTTTATCCCAATGGCATTAGCACACTTGTGGGCCGGCTCCATTTGATGTCGCAGAGCCGCAATGAATCCTATAAGGCTCAGTGTGCTATTCATCGTTCCTGTCAATGTTGGGTCACAAATGTTGACAGTAGAAGAATTCAAAGAATGATTGATTGGCTGGCTGCAGGGGCAGAGGAATCTGCCACCAGACATGACGAGCTCAGCCGCGAATTAAGACAGTCTTGTGGAATCAAGGTTCGCTCATGATAAGTTCTTCTTGGCTCTCCAAATGATTTGAATCATTTAGTGTAACATTAAACTAAATTACATTGCTGTCAGAAAGAGCTGTCTATCGGTGAGTGGACATTGTTTTCAGGCTTGCATTGACTTGCATGGTGCCCAATCCAACCCGTACATTAGCAAATCAAAGCACAGAAAATGGAGCAATGTGCTATCAGTGGCCATCTGCTATGTGGTTCACAGGGCTTTTGTTTCTTGAAAACAAATTTGATTCAAACAAGTTTTCAACATATTGTTCCTGCTCATCAAAGTTCTAAGTCGATTGTTTGACAGAAATGTTGTTCAAATTGGCAATTTTTCACCCCCAAAAAGAACCCCAAAATATTACCCTTAGCCCCCCCAAAAATTACCCTTAGCTCCGGGACTTAAGGGTAATTTTTAAGGGTAATATCTAAGGGTAATTTTTGCGGTTTCTGCAAGCTATTTGGGGAAAAATTACCCTTAGTTTGCCATCACAAAAAATTACCCTTAAGTCCCGGGGCTAAGGGTAATTTTTTGGAGGATTTTGGAGGCAAATCTTGGGCTCATTTTGGCTATTTTCCAACAATTTGGGAACGTGTTTTTTGGTGAACTGGTGATGGCGTCAAGATGGATCTGGTGATATTTGGTGTTTCTTCCATAACAATGATATGGTTTATTTCCAAATATGATATGGTTAATGATGGTTGATGTGATGATGAATCATTATCGGTTATTATGTCATTCACATGATGATGAGAATCTGAACCTGGGTTTTGAACATGATTTACTGTATGCATGCAAACTTATGACTACATACAATTTACTCATTGTTGGGGCATGTTCAAGTCATATTGTTTGGGGACTCGTGTTCAGACGTCGAGTTTGGCAGCCTGTCTTGAACTTCAAGAAAGTTTGCCCGGCGATTCTTTCCTGCTAGAGCTTTCAGCTATGGCCAGTCAAGATTCGCAATCGACTTTGGTGATGGGCGCGTCCCCTCCAAAGACTCCCATGAAGTCCGTGAAGGTCACCCCTGGATCACCTATGAAAGTGCTGCCCACCAGTGCTTCGCCCAAGGCGCAGGTTTCTCCCAAAGTGAAGCCTGCATCCTCCACTTTGAAAGTGATGAAGAAGCCCGCAGCTTCTATGAAAGTCAAGAAAAGTGAGAAGAGCAAGAAAAGTGAGAAGACCAAGAAGTCAGGTGCTGCTACCAAGTCATCCCTTGAGAAGGGAGAGAAGAAGCCGGCAGCCCGTGGATCCCTCAAGAAGCCAGCAGCACGTGCTTCCCAGAAGAAGCCTTCCAAAAGAAAGTCGCTCTCGGTTTCGTCAGATCGTGAGTCAGACATCAGTGGTGACACTCCAGTGCTCTTGGGTGTGGAACCCCGTACTCCTGAAGAGGCCCGTCGGCAGCTTCAGGCTGAGCTCTACAGTGAGTATGTGCAGGAGCGTGACCATGACATGGCCTTTGGCTACCAAAGTTTCACTTTTCGCCGTTGGTTGAGGGCCCATGCTGACGACTTCGATGTGATCCGCCTTCGTCGCATGGGGGCCCGCATCTTTGACGACATCGACGATGGCAACAAGTGAGCTGCTCTGAGAGCCAAGGGATGTCAAAGGATCTCAGTGATAGCCGAATGCCAATCCTATCACTGATGCTATCCAGTGTTTTTGAGGCACAAGCAACTTTGTCAGTTGCGAATGCAGGTGCCACTCATTTTGCAAGTTGTTGATCAGGGGACTAGCCATGGTTTCTTATCCACGTGTTTGCTTTCAGCTATGTTGTCATTTGCCGCGCGTGTGTTTTTTTCAGTGGTGGACAGTCCTTCCTGACAATAGCCTCGCCGAGAAACATGCTCCATCTACGGATGAAAACTGTGCACTTCAAGCATTGATTGGAAGATTGCACAGATCAAAACAAAGTTTTGTTTTTGCAGTCTGATTGAATATGGCTGAACTCTTTTGCAGAAACCTCTCATCAATCCACTTGCTACATCAGTCTGCTGTGGCTTGACGGTTGGGTCAAATGACTAGGATGGGATGGATGATGAATTGCTGGATGACAAATGGATGACATGCATGACTAAAAGATCAGATCGGATGAGATGGTGACAGTGATCAGCATGTGTCAGTGAGCACAAGTTGACTTTTTTTCTGTGAAATTCACAGGGTTTACCAACAACAAGCTCGAGATTTTCACTGGCATGTTTGATTTGTGAACTCCCGAAGTTACTTTCACAGACTCAGAGCATTTGAGATAGCTTTCTTCCCTAGCTTAGCTAGCACAATGTCGTGCAAGCTTTGCAATCGTAAGTTTGGCTCTACGCCGAACCCCATGGTGAAGGACCCTGAGAAAGATGACCTCTTGAAGCAGAGGGGCTCCCTTGCGCAGTGCTCGCCTTGCTTCTTCTACATCAAGAGTGGTCCCAAGCTCAAGGATATGAATCGAACTGATCTCATGCAGAAGATGGCCAATGACCAATCTTTCAAGATGGAGTTCATGAACGGGCTGTCGGCATGGGAAGCAGATCGCCGTGAGGGAAAGAGGAAAAAACGTTGTGACAGCACCCAGTCAGTGTCAACTGAGACCAAATGTGGAGTCAGCACCAAGCAGATCAAGGGCTACCTTTGGCCGCGTGATTTGCTGGACAAGCACAACCTTGGCCACCTCTGCAAAAAGGGCAAGTTGACTACGATCTCACACATGGGAAAACCCATCACAGGGGTGCTTCGAGAATCGTGGGTGCTTGGCGCTATTGAAGTCGCTGAGGACAGGTTTTTGTTTCATGATTGTCTGACAACGTGGGTTTTGAAGCTAAATGATGTGATGACAATTTGAAAACACACATGACAAACACAAGTTCATATCATATCATATCATATCATATCATAGCATACTCTCTTATAAGTAAACTTAACCCTAGAAAACGAATAAGTGCAAAACTATTTGGTAAATTAACATAGACCCTGGCAGATAGGGGTTGAAAGATTAGTTTCCACTATAAATTGGATGTTTTGAGGGTCTATGTCACTCTGCCCCGCAGGTCAGGTCCGACAGGAGGTTGCGCAGGGTTCTGGAGGTCAGGTCCGACAGGAGGTTGCGCAGGCTTCTGTGGTAGGCGCGGCAAGTGACGTGGCAGGCCACACAGGTCAGGTCCGTCAGGAGGTTGCGCAGGGCATGGAGGTCAGGTCCGTCAGGAGGTTGCGCAGGCTTCTGTGGTAGGCGCGGCAAGTGACGTGGCAGGCCACACAGGTCAGGTCCGTCAGGAGGTTGCGCAGGGATTTGGAGGTCAGGTCCGTCAGGAGGTTGCTCAGGCTGTGGTAGGCGCGGCAGATGTGGCAGGTGGCTTGCAACCTGTTTTTTCATTGCTAACATGTATGGTAAGGCTACCCCCTTAGGTCTATGTTAGTTTAGTGGTATTGCTTTTCTAGGGCTAAGTTTATTTATAAGAGAGTATCATATTGTTTTTTAAAGATTTAGAGTTTATTATTGTTATAGTCTTTAGTACAGTATGTATACTCAAAGTCGGGTTATTAAATTTCAAGTCTATTATGTTAATCAATATTTTTATAAGTATAATTACATTGTATCATGTTTTTGAATATTTATAAAAATACACTTTGTAGTATCATAATACAATATTTTAAAAAATAATATACGTACAATTTATATAATATAAGGTTATATAATATAGCAAAATAAAATATAATAATATAAGAATATTACAATATAATATAATTTATAATATAGTTCAATTTAATATTATTTAATTCAATATAATATAATTTAATATAGTTCAATAAAATATAATTTATATAATATAATATAATATAATGTAATATATATTACAATTAAAATATTTAATTGTTTAAAAATATAATTGTACATTTACTAGATTTACTTAATATATCTATGAGTCATGTAAGAAAATTTGCAAAATATAATGTAAGAAAACACATCAAATAAAATACAATATATAATTTTATAATCTAACTTGATATGATATTTAACATATCATTATTTAAGAAAAAATAAAATATTAACAGACAATACAATACTAAAAAATATGTCACAACAAAATGCAATACAATGATATATGATATATATATATATATAGACAGATGTATTACTATAATTTCAAAACATGTCATTCGACAAAAATAAAATACAATAATAAAATAAATTGATGTAATATAATATAATTTAATAGCATGATAATTATTATTATATATATAGAATGCAATAAAGTATCATCATTTTCATTAGCAATTTATATATATCATGTGTAAATATTTTAATATACTACATGCTATATGTAATTTAGTGTTCTTAAAACATCTTAAACTTCCCTATTTATATATAATATATATTATATAATTACATAATGTAGCAACACGTAACGGCAAACATTACCATAGAATCATACATATTGTTACTTTAACTTCAAACTCAGTCTTTGCTCCACATCCAACACAAATAGATAACTTTACATTTGTTCCAGATCACTCTGTTTGTATCCTGGCAGGACAGTGCCCACCAGGCAGTTCGCACGGTGAAGACGGAAATGGACGAGGTGGATGAAGACCAGACCAACGAATCTTGGGCAAGCAAATGTGGCCATTTGAAGACTTCCGTTGAGACTGATGAAGATGGAGACATGACATTGAAGGCTTCCAAGAAACCCAAAGGATGTGATGATGACTTCTTTTCTTTGTGGGGTACTGGATCCATCGTCAGCGGCACTCCTTCGAACTCGGAGCCAGCAACCCGAAAGAGAAACAAGCATGATCCGGTTCCAGATGGTGCTGAGCCAAAGGCTGCCTCCAAGAAAGCAAAGGCCCAGAAGGGACATGGACCAATCGGCCTTGGAGTCCCAGCTCCTTCTTCCGATGGGTCCTCTTCAGCAGGGGCGCCAAACCAGCTCTCAACTTCTTGGATGTTTGGCACCAAGCTCACTGCCAAGTCTGGACGTTCCAAAAACTTTGAGCATTCCAAAGACTTTGATGCAACGGAGAAGGCAATCAGCCAAGTTGAAGGGCTCAAGGCTCACATTGGCAATCCTGCTCAGTTCCTGTCCTTATCCTACGCCAAGGCCCAAGCAGTCCTTGACAAGATTGGTGCCAGAAACACCGATCCCTTGCAAAAGATTTACCGAGAAGCCAGCCAGACCCCAGATGGTTCACACGGCTTAGAGTTGTTGAAGAGAACGGTGTCGGCACATCGGCAAGCTCAGGCTATCGTGGACTTTGTGGCAGCGCTCCATGATGCTGAAGCTTCTGCAGCTACTCTTGAAGATGCAGTTGCAGAAGTCCGCAATCAGGGAATATCCTTGCCAGACTGCGTCAATCACTTGAGCTATGCCCGGAAGTGCAAGGAGCTTGCAAAGAACGAAAATTGGGCAGACTATTTCGACTCCCTTTCAAAGGAGAATCTAGGCAAGCTCTTTGGCTCTGAGGATGCACCTGAGCTTCTTGACTTCCAAGCATCCTCTATCAAAACGGTCCTTTCATCTTTGCTTATGGCAGAGGTCAAAGTGGATTGCAAGATGGATGGCACAGAGCTGTCTGAGGAAGATATCCAAAAGGCAAAGGATGCTGAAATCTTCAGACTTGCCAAGACTGTTCACCTTTGCCTACAAGGCTTTTGCTCCACTGTTCATCCGCTGTGGAAAGATCAGCAGGTTGTTGCTCAGTTGGGTGACGACATTTGCCGTCTGATCAAGTTGACTGACGCAGTGATGAAGGACAAGGGAGCCAAGACTTGGGCTGCACAAGAGATCGAGGAGTTGAAAGGTCTTCGGTCAGCCTTGCTTAGCAACAGAAAAGGGCCTTTGCATGAGACGCTCACCCTTTTCCCAGTGGGCATCTACATCCAGAAGACCGTGGATTCTCTTTGCATCAGCTTTGCTCACGACCAAGGACTTCAGTCAGAGCTGACTCATCTTGTCGAGCTGGTGGAGTCCCTCAACACTACTTTCACGGGAGATGGTCTTGTGAAGGAAAAGGTTGTTGGGGATGCCAAGGACTTGGACATCCAGATCCCTTCTCAAGCCAAACTGGTTGAGATTGTCTCCAAGCCCCTAGGCTAGTTGTTTCATGCAACCGTTTTTCCCGTATGTTTTGTTTGTCGGGTGATGTTTGTTTTGCTGAAGCGCCTTTTCTTTTATTGACCTTTTTTTTGGACAGGTTTGGTCTGATCGTCGTCACGGGGTCGAAGCGTTTCCAAGAAGAACAGGAGGCAAACATGACCAAGGTGAATTGCAAACTTGATGAGTTCGTGGCGGCTTTGGAACAGGCTATGACCTTCAGGTTTGCCCACAAGTACGGTGAGAAGCTGATTCCCATCCTAGAAGAGCTGGTGAAAGTGGGTGGACCGAACAAGTCCGATGCCGCCAAGATTGCTTCCTTGCAGTCCATTCTGGATGCTCTCAAGTTGCCAGCCGCATTCAACCCATTGGCCAAGACCCAGCTAGCAAAAGTTCTTGGGGAAGCACGCTTGCCATATGTCGAGGGCATCATGGGTGACAATGTTGCCTTCTACGCTACTTTGAAGTCTTCTTTGCCATTGGTGGTTCAACTTCTGGAAAACCCTCGTGAGCTAGGGCCTTCCCAGTTGATGAATGAGCACTTAGTTCCTTGGTTTGAAAGAATTGGCCTAATCGACGTATATGATAGATTAAAGATACAATTCAATGATTCATATACAAATTTCAGATTATATCTTAAGAACTAGTGACTTGTGAATGTTAATTGGTTATCCCATTGAATTTATCCAATGTTGTGCTTATCACTGTTTAATGGATAGCTGGGCTATGGCTATATCAATGTCTATGACTTTTATGTTTTAGATATTTAATTTTATACTATGCTACTTATAATGCTATATATATTTAAATCTATGATGATTATTTTTATATTAGGATATTTTAACGCTAAAATCTAGAGATACCTGAGATGAGATACGTTTACTGTTATCAAAGATTTTTCGCACATACAACGAGGAGTTTAAAGATAATTTGATGAAGGCATATTAAGACAAGTATGGGCGAAACACAAATCATTCATTTACTAAATAAATGGGTTTGTTATCTACATGGTCGCCCGCATATTTTTCAAGAGCCATGAAGTAGCTGCGAATAAAACGGGAGCAACCATGTTTTTCATGCAAACATCAACCGCAAAGGTGGAACTTCTCCAGATCCTTGCCAAGACCTCGGCTCTGGACAACGTTATCAAGCTTTGCCCGAAGCTTCACATCGTTCTCAAGAACCTGAAGATGCGTCTCTTGACAAGTGCCAAGTTGGTGATCGCCAATCATTGCTCCAGTTTCACTGGCTTTCTCACTGAGTTTGCCAGTGTTGGCAAACCTGAAGCAATTTTGAAGGAAGACTTTGTGGGGAAAGTTTCGACAGAAGGCGATGGTGAAGATAGCACCATGTGCCATGCCGCCTTTGGAAAGATCTTCAAGTTGTACTTTGCAGATCAGCCAGCTCGTGACCAGACCATGAATGTTCACTCCGGTGATGCAAGCTTTCCTTTGACGTGCGCGGCTGTTTGTGGAGGTGCAGGGATTTTGCCATTTGCCAAGGACATCGTGAAGTTAGCTTTCCTGATCGAGGAAAACAATGCCAAGAAATCGTCTATGGCATCAGTTCTCTCAAAGAAAAATAGCGCTGCCTCTGAGCAGGACATGGAGACTGTCAAGCTGCGCCATTTGACCACTGCAATCTCGATGCAGGTGGCCAAGGCCTTCGAATCTTTGAAGACTGCATGCGCTTGCATTGAAACAGTGGATGGTGCCTCCGGAAATGGATCAAAAGTGCTTGCTGGTTTCAGGGAAGTCTTGAGTTCCCACCTTACCAAATTGACCTTTCTTGTGAATGCAGAGCTGTCAGAATGTCAACAGCATGTGGGTTCGCTGATTCAAGCAGTTCTGGTCGAGCACAAGTTGGGGGAATCTTTGAGCAGACGGAGATTGACCAGGGGATGATGAAAGCAGCGTGTGAAGACCAGCGCTCTAAGCAGCTCTTCAACTTTGCAGTGTTTGCGAAGATCGCTCTGAAGGATGCGAAGAAATTCTTGAAACAACTTGCTGATTTTTTCTTCTTCCGACCAAGTTTCTTTCCAAGATCTGGTGACAAAAGCCACCGCTTTGATCAAGGATGTGTACAGCTTCAGTGAGGAAGGGTGCTCTGAGAATAAGGGAGGCCTTTCTTTTTGTGGTCGGCTTGTTGGTAGTGTTACTGTGGCCCAGGCTTTGGTTCGTGACTTATCCACAGGCGAAACCCGCCAAGGATTAGTGAACAATGCGTTGCAGGGACTGAAGCGTCATGGTTTTGATTGCCATGCTTCACTCTTGAAACGTAGTGAAGCTGTGATTCGTGGCAAGCCCCTTAGCAAATGATTTGTTCAGCTGAGGGAAAATCTTACAAACAACTGTTGAAGCTTGTGTGGTTTTGCTTCCTTTGCAGTTGGTTCCGCCATTGGCAACAGACAGTCAGCAAGAGGTGACAAAAAACAAGAAGAGTTTGAGTGCCGCAAGATTTCATGAGGTCATGACGATGAAATTTTGGTGATAGCTACTTCCTAGATATATGATTCGATAGATGATAAATGATCATGTTAAATGACAAATGATAAAGTAAAGGATGTGAAAGAATAGTTTCAGAGCCACTGCATTCCCCGAAGAGGTGTATTTTTAATTACCTTTAGCAGGTATTTAAGGTGTATTTTTATTGCCCTTAAGGTGTATTTTTATCACCCTTAAGGTGTATTTTTAAGGTGTATTTTTATTACCCTTAAGGTGTATTTATATTACCCTTAAGGTGTATTTTTAAGGTGTATGTTTACTACCCTTAAGGTGTATTTTTAAGGGTTATGTTTAGATAAAGAATTACTGTTAGAGGATATCCTTAACATATAATAGACCCAAAATAGACCCAGTTGGGCGGCTGAAGCAGGACGGCCGTCGACAGATGCAGGCTCGTGGTGACACAAGCGGGCTAGTTTGACACTGTTTGAGGTTTTTGGGGTTTTAAGGCTTTTCAAGCCTGGCTAAAACGTGCCACGTAGCAGTTTCGAAACTCCTTAAAGATGAGGCAAGGGCTGTGCTGTATATAGACCCAAAATAGACCCAGTTGGGCGGCGTCAGATGCAGGCTCGTGCTGACACAAGCGGGCTAGTTTTACACTGTTTGAGGTTTTTGGGGTTTTAAGGCTTTTCAAACCTGGCTAAAGCGTGCCACGTAGCAGTTTCGAAACCCCTTAAAGATACATGACCAGGCAGCTTGGAAGGCTGGAGTGAGGCAAGGAGGCCGTAGCAGGCCAGAGACGTGAGGCAAAAGATACATGACCAGGTAGCTTAGCAGTTTCGAAACGCCTTAAAGATACATGCCCAGGCAGCTTGGAGGGGCCAGAGCGGTGAGGTGAGGCAAGGGCTGTGCCGTATATAGACCCAAAATAGACCCAGTTGGGCGGCTGAAGCAGGACGGCCGTCGACAGATGCAGGCTCGTGCTGACACAAGCGGGCTAGTTTGACACTGTTTGAGGTTTTTGGGGTTTTAAGGCTTTTCAAGCCTAGCTAAAACGTGCCACGTAGCAGTCTCGAAACCCCTTAAAGATACATGCCCAAGCAGCTTGGAAGGCTGGAGCTGTTTGAGGTTTTTGGAGTTTTAAGGCTTTTCAAGCCTGGCTAAAACGTGCCAAGCGGGCTAGTTTTACACTGTTTGGGGTTTTTGGGGTTTTAAGGCTTTTCAAGCCTGGGTAAAACGTGCCACCAGCAGTTTCGAAACTCCTTAAAGATACATGACCAAGCACCTTGGAAGGCTGGAGTGAGGCAAGGAGGCCGTAGCAGGCCAGAGATGTGAGGCAAAAGATACATGACCAGGCAGCTTAGCAGTTTCGAAACGCCTTAAAGATACATGCCCAAGCAGCTTGGAAGGCTGGAGTGAGGCAAGGAGGCCGTAGCAGGCCAGAGAGGTGAGGCAAAAGATACATGACCAGGCAGCTTAGCAGTTTCGAAACGCCTTAAAGATACATGCCCAGGCAGCTTGGAGGGGCCAGAGCAGTGAGGTGAGGCAAAGGCTGTGCCGTATAAAGACCCAAAATAGACCCAGTTGGGCGGCTGAAGCAGGACGGCCGTTGACAGATGCAGGCTCGTGCTGACACAAGCGGGCTGCCCAAGCAGCTTGGAAGGCTGGAGCTGTTTGAGGTTTTTGGAGTTTTAAGGCTTTTCAAGCCTGGCTAAAACGTGCCAAGCGGGCTAGTTTTAAAATGTTTGAGGTTTTTGGGGTTTTAAGGCTTTTCAAGCCTGGCTAAATCGTGCCACGTAGCAGTTTCGAAACTCCTTAAAGATACATGACCAAGACCTTGGAAGGCTGGAGTGAGGCAGGGAGGCCGTAGCAGGCCAGAGACGTGAGGCAAAAGATACATGACCAGGCAGCTTAGCAGTTTCGAAACGCCTTAAAGATACATGCCCAAGCAGCTTGGAAGGCTGGAGTGAGGCAAGGAGGCCGTAGCAGGCCAGAGACGTGAGGCAAAAGATACATGACCAGGCAGCTTAGCAGTTTCGAAACGCCTTAAAGATACATGCCCAGGCAGCTTGGAGGGGCCAGAGCGGTGAGGTGAGGCAAGGGCTGTGCCCTATAATAGACCCCAAATAGACCCAGTTGGGCGGCTGAAGCAGGGCGGCCATCGACAGATGCAGGCTCGTGCTAACACAAGCGGGCTAGTTTTACACTGTTTGAGGTTTTTGGTGTTTTAAGGCTTTTCAAGCCTGGCTAAAACGTGCCACGTAGCAGTTTCGAAACCCCTTAAAGATACATGCCCAGGCAGCTTGGAAGGGCTAGAGAGGTGAGCTGAGGCAGGCCTAGTGGTTCTAGCAGGCCACAGCTGCACACCAACCCCTTAAAGATACATGACCAGGCAGCTTGGAAGGCTGGAGTGAGGCAAGGAGGCCGTAGCAGGCCAAAGACGTGAGGCAAAAGATAAGTTTCGAAACGCCTTAAAGGTACATGCCCAGGCAGCTTGGAGCGGTGAGGTGAGGCATGGGCTGTGCTGTATATAGACCCAAAATAGACCCAGTTGGGCGGCTGAAGCAGGACGGCCGTCGACAGATGCAGGCTCGTGCTGACACAAGCGGGCTAGTTTGACACTGTTTGAAGTTTTTGGAGTTTTAAGGCTTTTCAAGCCTGACTAAAACGTGCCACGTAGCAGTTTCGAGACCCCTTAAAGATACATGCCCAAGCAGCTTGGAAGGCTGGAGCTGTTTGAGGTTTTTGGGGCTTTAAGGCTTTTCAAGCCTCGCTAAAACATGCCAAGCGGGCTAGTTTTACACTGTTTGAGGTTTTTGGGGTTTTAAAGCTTTTCAAGCCTGGCTAAAGCGTGCCACGTAGCAGTTTCGAAACCCCTTAAAGATACATGACCAGGCAGCTTGGAAGGCTGGAGTGAGGCAAGGAGGCCGTAGCAGGCCAGAGACGTGAGGCAAAATATACATGACCAGGTAGCTTAGCAGTTTCGAAACGCCTTAAAGATACATGCCCAGGCAGCTTGGAGGGGCCAGAGCGGTGAGGTGAGGCAAGGGCTGTGCCGTATATAGACCCAAAATAGACCAAGTTGGGCGGCTGAAGCAGGACGGCCGTCGACAGATGCAGGCTCGTGCTGACACAAGCGGGCTAGTTTGACACTGTTTGAGGTTTTTGGTGTTTTAAGGTTTTTTATGCCTGGCTAAAGCGTGCCACGTAGCAGTTTCGAACCCCCTTAAAGATAGATGCCCAAGCAGCTTGGAAGGCTGGAGCTGTTTGAGGTTTTTGGGGTTTTAAAGCTTTTCAAGCCTGGCTAAAGCGTGCCACGTAGCAGTTTCGAAACCCCTTAAAGATACATGACCCAGCACCTTGGAAGGCTGGAGTGAGGCAAGGAGGCCGTAGCAGGCCAGAGACGTGAGGCAAAAGATACATGACCAGGTAGCTTAGCAGTTTCGAAACGCCTTAAAGATACATGCCCAGGCAGCTTGGAGGGGCCAGAGCGGTGAGGTGAGGCAAGGGCTGTGCCGTATATAGACCCAAAATAGACCAAGTTGGGCGGCTGAAGCAGGACGGCCGTCGACAGATGCAGGCTCGTGCTGACACAAGCGGGCTAGTTTGACACTGTTTGAGGTTTTTGGTGTTTTAAGGTTTTTTATGCCTGGCTAAAGCGTGCCACGTAGCAGTTTCGAACCCCCTTAAAGATAGATGCCCAAGCAGCTTGGAAGGCTGGAGCTGTTTGAGGTTTTTGGGGTTTTAAGCTTTTCAAGCCTGGCTAAAACGTGCCACGTAGCAGTTTCGAAACTCCTTAAAGATACATGACCCAGCACCTTGGAAGGCTGGAGTGAGGCAAGGAGGCCGTAGCAGGCCAGAGAGGTGAGGCAAAAGATACATGACCAGGCAGCTTAGCAGTTTCGAAACGCCTTAAAGATACATGCCCAGGCAGCTTGGAGGGGCCAGAGCGGTGAGGTGAGGCAAGGGCTGTGCCGTATATAGACCCAAAATAGACCCAGTTGGGCGGCTGAAGCAGGACGGCTGTCGACAGACGCAGGCTTGTGCTGACACAAGCGGGCTAGTTTGACAATGTTTGAGGTTTTTGGTGTTTTAAGGCTTTTCAAGCCTGGCTAAAACTTGCCACGTAGCAGTTTCGAAACCCCTTAAAGATACATGCCCAAGCAGCTTGGAAGGCTGGAGCTGTTTGAGGTTTTTGGGGTTTTAAGGCTTTTCAAGCATGGCTAAAACGTGCCACGTAGCAGTTTCGAAACTCCTTAGAGATACATGACCAAGCACCTTGGAAGGCTGGAGTGAGGCAAGGAGGCCGTAGCAGGCCAGAGAGGTGAGGCAAAAGATACATGACCAGGCAGCTTAGCAGTTTCGAAACCCCTTAAAGAGAGATGAGCTGAGGCAGGCCTAGTGGTTCTAGCAGGCCACAGCTGCACACCTGCGGTGATCCCGGGCGCCGCCCCGCCCAG